CCCAAAGCATCGAGCTCCATCTTCCTCCCCTTCCCTAAAAATGGGTTCTGTTCCTCCCTAGGTGCTTTGTGCCGCACCAGACACTGTGACAGATGATCTCACTGCCGGGGTCCAGATTTATTTGCAGATGGTCCCTGATCTGAGAGGTGGTGTGTCACATTGAGCAGGGAATTACCCAGGTGACTCCCACTAATGCTATGCTGGCCGGTCAGATACCGGCGAGAAGAACCTTGCCAGGTCTCCGTGTCGAGCTGGGCTGTTATTTACAGCTCTTTGTGTGCACTGCACACACGTCTCACCTTGCAGCCCTGCCTGCCTTCACTGCTGTGCTGCCTGTGCTAGATGCAGAAAGCAGCTCCTCTCTTGCTGTGCAGTGCTGCTTTCTGCTCGTCTCCAAACTGCTTGTTAAGGACTATTTGCTCCGAGTTGCTGTTTTCAGTTGACAGAACTCGCGTTGGAAAGCTAATGCTCAATCCTAAAACATCCCTGCACTGCTCCCCAATACTTGTAATCAAAGTCTGTCTCCTTCATTGCTTGTAACAATGCTCCAATTTGACTGTGCCAGCCCTCTTTATTAAAAATAGTCAATAAGACGTGGCTTTGTGTGAGGGCTCTATAGAGCGGCGGCTCGTGTGTGAAGCAAACCAATTGTGCTTGATTCTAATCCAGAACCAGGATTCCTGTGTGATCCGCTGCAGCAGAGCTCCTGGGGAGAGCAGTCAATGAGAAACCCTACAGCAGCGTGCTTGTCTTAAATGTACCTTGTGCTTCCCTCAAAGTGCTGCATTAGGAGAAGCAAAAGCTGCGCGCTGTGGTCTTGTTTTCCCTTTCCCGGCCCGTGCTTGGCCACCCTTGTTCCCCAGCACCCAAAAGTGTTTGCAGGAATGACTGCCACAGTCAGAATGCACTTGAAATGTGGGGTGTGAGGTGTTAAAATGTGGTGAGCGAGGCGTTCCTGCGTGCTGTGCTGGGTGCAGGGGCTCAGATGGGCAGCAGCGTGCGCAAAGCCCGCTTTCCTGCAGCGGAGCGAAGAGGCTGAGGCTTGGTGCATGCAGTGCAGCACAGGTGCTGAGGGAAGGATGGCGAGGTGCCGGTTGTGGCTGGAGGATTGCTAGGAATGTAGGATGGGGTTCTTGCCTTGCACAGCTTTTGTCGTGCTCAGCAAACTTTCCGGGCTGGCTTAGGGCTGTGAGCGGCGCTCAGCAATGTGTGTGTAAGCGCTTTGGGAGAGAGGGGAAAGGATGAGGAATGCTGGCAGCGCCCTGCTGGACACGGGGGGAGGCCATGGGGAAAGCTGGGCTCTGGGTGCCTCGGCTTTTAGTCACTGCTGTCATAACAAAGCTTGGAGCCTTCTGTGATTCAGGCCGTGGCTCAGAGACTGGAGAAGAAATGCTTGCCTGGAGCAGGTGGGGATGTTCTGCTGCAAGAGAGGGAGAGAAAAGCATTGGTTCATTGAGGCAAACCCTTCCTCCTTGTTCCTGAGAAGGTGTGCAGCACGGCAGGTAGCAGGACGGGCGCTCTGAGCATCTCTGCATGCCACGACGTTGGTGGGGTTGGCACAGGAGCAGCGATTCCCTTCCACTCTCCAACCAGCAAAGAACGCCCCGCTTCCTCACTCACAGCTCGAGCTGCTTTCAGTTTGATGCCTTGCTTTTTTTCCTCCGTATTTGTTACAAATCTGTTGCAGACAGTCAAGTTTCATAGAGGCACTTTGCTTTTACTGTACTCTGTGTCCTCCCTGCTTGCAGCAAGGTTGGGGAGGTGCTCTGTGCCCCCTGCAGCACACGCACCCCAAACTGGCATTACAGCAAGTCAGATCTTCAGATTAACGAGCAAGTGGAAATGCTTCTCTTTGCCCAAAAGATAAGGGTTGGCTTTTTTTTGTTTTTAATTTTATTTTTGGCCTCACAATTCATTTAACTTGCTTCTGAATGGCAGGATTTAGTTATAATATATGGTCTGCTGTGGTTACGTGACAGCGACTAATGCCTGATGACCACTCTGGCTAGCTGGGGTGGAAAACTGCTGTGCTGTCATGCCCTGACTATGGAAAGGAAAGCAGCTCTGGATGGCCCTTGCTGGTAGCGTGCTGTCAATCAGTTTCTTAATGACTCTCTTAAAGAATAAAAGCAAGAACCTCCTGGAAAGCTTTTTTTCTGTCTGTCCCTTCCTTGTTTCGTTTCTGCGTCCCTCCCCTGCTCCCAGCTGCTCACCTCGTGCTGTCTCCAGCATTTTGCTTCCTCCTTCTCCCTCTGCTCTCAGACGTTCTCCCTTCTCCACGCTTTATTTCCTGCCCCTCCCGGCTGCTGCTTTCAAAACACACCACTTATTTTCCAATCCAGACTATTAATCTTTGTCCCACCTACTCATGAGGCATGAAGGTTTTACAGGAGCCCATTAGCTGTTATCTCCATCCCTTCCCACCAAAGGGGATGGGGAAAAAGGAGGTCCTCCAGGGAAGCTCCTTCTTGCGGGGGCACTGCTCTTATTGCTGGGCTCTGCAGCTCCCAGCTTTCCTCTCTCCATGCTGTGAAAACACCTGAAATCTCAAAGCTGAGGGGAGGTGGAGCGTTGCTTTCAGTGCCTCGTCCCAGCGCTGCTGCGGGAGCACAGGGCTGCCTGCCTGCTGCCATCCCGTCCTTCCTGCCTCCTCATCTCCAGTGCTCTGCAGGGTTAATGCCTTCACGTCTCACTGCTGCTTGCCAGCTCCTGGCTGGGGTTGGGGGCAGCAGGGCCGGCCCCGTTGCCTTGGGAAGAAGCAGCACTGCTGTGCTGTCGGAGCCATCACAAGGGCGAAACTCTTGATTCTGCAGTGGAGTGTGGCAGGCTGTGCTGGGAGGGTGGGGGTGGCTGCCAGGATGAGCCAGGCTATAAAGGGAGTGTTTTTCTTAGCCCTTATCGCTGCTGGCTGTCTTGCACTGGTGCAGATTCGTGCTGTAGTTGTGCAGTGCAGTTGTAAAGAGGCGATTTGCACCGCTACTCTTTGCCTTTAGTTGCAGAACAGGCTCTGAAACCAAACGCTTTGGGGGTAGGGAAAGAATAGACGAGGTGTAGCTATGGGCGTCCTTGAGGCTGGTCTTTCTGCAGGGGTGTTTGGGGGTGTTACTCTGCATTTCTGCCCTCTTCTTTACATACATGCAGAGAGGAGCGCTTCTCTCTGAGCCAGCACAGCTATCATCTTTTGTGGGTGGTTTTTGTTGGTGCTGGTTTGTTTTATTTCCCTTTATTCCATATGCACGCTCGCATCTCTCTCCCTTGCAGCCCAGGCTCGGTGTCTGTCCCAGCTCTGCAGATCCCACCGAGCCCTGGGGAGCACGAGGGAGAAGCTCGATGCAGGCAGCCTGCAAATGCTGCCTTGTTTATGAGAGCTGCAGACTGCAGTCTGGGGGGAGCTGGGAAAGTTTGTCTGGCTTAAAGCGCTAAAGCTGGCAAAAGATTGCAGGGCTTGGGCTGTAATCAATAAAACACGGGGTGTTTGGAAGCGAAGGTCAGAGTCCTTCCTTGGTTCACCCTGTTCTTTAAATATCCCAGCAGTTACAGCGGCTGCTGCAGCGCTTGGACACGGCAAAGAGCAGCACAGACCTCAGTCCTTGGAGAAGCACAGCTTTTATTTACCTGGAGGCAAAGCCTGCTCCCTTCTGCTCCCAGGTTTATGCTTTTGGGGCCCTGTCCCTGGTGCAGGGCTGTGCGCACGCCGTCCCTGGCTCAAAATGGCATCCTCCATCTGCTTGTCCAGGAGATAGCCCTGCGCTGCAGCACTCCAACTCCTCTGCCTTAATGGGTCACATTTAGCAATTCAAAATCTGGCTTGTGAGGTAATTAGGAGGGATAATGCCCACTTCTTCCTCTTAACACCCTGATAGAAAAGCATCCAGGAAGGACTCCTGGACCTCAAAGATAAGCTGCCAGCTGCCACAGAGACTATCAAAGGGTGGCTCAAAGTCAAGAGCAAACAGCTGATTTTTTATGGTTCTTGGGTTTTTGCTGTTGGTGACAGGAAGCCATGTTCCCCAAGCTGTTAGCTTCCTGTTTTATTTTTACACCCAGCCCGGGCAGATCAGCATGCCTATCACATGGGAGCTGGCTGCTTCTCTTGGGCTGCTCCTCAGCTGACCTAGAAAAGTGATTCTTTCCCCTTCTAAATTAATCACAAAGTTGAGCTGTATTTGCTTTCTCTGAGGTTTGAAGATTTCAGGCCTGTGGCACCGCTTGCTCCCAGCTCTGCTTAGCAAGGCACCCCTGCATCTCCGGGGCGGGCATTGAAGGGGGGATGTTTGCTGCTTGGACACTTCAGCCTGTTGGCAGAGGAGAGTTTTGTCCCTTGGAAGGGCTGACCTGCGCCTGAAAGCCCTTTGTCCCGCTTTGGGCTCCCTTACCATTAAACGGCCCCAGCACAAAAAACAATGGCCCGTGTAAACCTCAGCCCTGGGGGATTTCCTGAGGGCCGCTGGGTGCAGCCTGCAGGATGGAGAACAGTCAGCAGAAAGTTTCCTGGTCAGCTGCGAGCGCTTCCTGTTGTTCAGCAGAGCCGCGCCGGGAGGAGCCGCACGTTGTTCCCCCCCATCTCCTGCCCTCGTCCTCTGGTCGAAGCAAAGCCATCGCTCTCGGGTTTAACAAATTCCTGAAGAAGGGTTTTGAGGCTCGCCGAGATGCTGTGTGTGAGCGGGGAAGGCAGGAGGCTGCGGATGGGTAGGAAGGGAGCAGCGGCGACGCGGGCAGCACCTCGCGTGGGGGCGAAGCTGTGTAGTTTTCCATCGCTGCCTCCATACCTGAGCCGGTGGGACTTTGCTGTCACTGCGAGTCACAGAACAGCGGGATCTTTATTTCTGAAGAGCCAGTATTATAAGGTCGGGGAAAAGGGGGGAGGGGGGGGGAAAGGAGGCTTATAAATAAAGCCATTTGAGAGCAGGAAAAACGAACACCATGGCTCTGGTGTGCCTGGAATTTGCGGTTGAGTAATCCTTTCCTGTTTCTTTTTTGGGTTGTTTTTCATCTTTCAGAACAGTGCCTGAAGCAGGTCCACCATGCCGTTAGTAACGAGGAACATTGAGCCAAGGCACCTGTGCCGTCAGACGTTGCCTAGCGTTCGAAGCGAGCTGGAATGCATGACCAACATCACCCTGGCAAATGTCATTCGACAGCTGGGCAGCCTGAGTGAGTACCATGGCGAGCCTGCGCGTTGCCCTCAGGAGTCGCTAGTGCTCTTTATTTAGCTCCCTTTCTACTCTTGTGTTCCTATTTCTCCCCCATCTGCCTTCCCCGGGTAATGCTAAAATGTTTTCCTAACGAAATCCGATGCTAATTTCATATCCCTGGTCCCACTGCCTTCCCCATCTAGGAGAAACCGGGGAGGGGGTGTGCGCATGTGTGTGCGTGCGTGTGTGCGAGGCTGCGGCGAAGCTGCAGATGGAAGGATGGAGCACAACTCAGGCTTGTAAAATGGGAGGCTCTCAGAGCAGCCAGGATCTTGTGTCAGAGAATGTGCCTCTAATTGCGTGCGCTACTAAATGGAGCTTGACTGCGCCGAAGCTGTGGCGTGTAAGTAGTCTTCTTTTTAATGAAAGATAATTAAAGTGCCCGTGCAGAAGCAGCCTGTTTGCCCCTGCTGTTTGCTACCTTGCAAGACCCAAAGTCCCCAGGCATTGCCTTTGGAGCACTGGGGGCTCAGGGCTGCTCGCTCAGACGGCAGCGCCAAGCTCAGCTCTCCGGTGGGCTGCCCCATAGCCTTGGAAAGGCCGGGGGAAAACGTGGGCCTGCGTGCCATGGGAGGAGAGAAGAGTTAATTGTGGTCTCTGTGGGATGGCTCCGTACTCCCTTGAAATGCTCTGGCTTCTGATTAGCCACCTTTACCCTTGAAGCAAGTCTTTGAGAATCAAGCTAATATATTGTTGAGCTTAGCGGTGGTGTCTGCGAGCGCTTCTGCTTGCTCTGCAAAGTAAGCTCCTTGCCTAATGTGGCAGGAACCTCAGCTGCAGCCTCTTTCCAGCAGTGAAAACCGTGGCTGCCACTGAAATGGGGGCCTGTGATGGCTGCCAGTCGGTGCCACGTTCTGTTTTGGGCTGTGGAAATGTCACTGCACTGGCAGGACCTGTGCATCTGCTCACCTTGTTGGTAATTTGGTGGGTCTGGTAGCCAAGAGGGTTGTGGAATGCGAGGAGAATCCATCTCGTGCATGTGAAATGAGGAGGAAGGAGGCAGTAAAGCTGTGCAGATCTCAGCTGCACAGAAAGCTAATCCCAGTCCAAAGGCATGCGGCGGGTTGGTGTGACAGAGCCCCGGTGAGATCCTGCAGATTTAGGCTGTCTTTGCACAGCTCAGATATTCAAAGCTTCTCTGTGTCTGCCTCAGCGGAGGCAGCAAAGCGCAGGGAGCCAACCTGCAGCTGGGCTCCTTTCCTGGAAGGTGCCCTGGGACGCCTGCGTGCTGCAGCCGGGTACCTGGAGGAGAGATGGCTCCAGCTGACCCTGCGTGCCTCCCTGCATGAGGGGGAGCAGGGCATGCAGGGGGGATGATGAGCACCATCCCTTATCCGCATCCCTGGGGTCAGCAGTGTTGTAAATGAAGCTATTTAGACTCGCTGCTGCAGAGCACTCACACCCAGGTGAGCAAACTGCTGCCTCCCTCCTTTACCTCTCTTACTTTGGAGGAAGAAATCCACTCCTACTTCGCACGCTGAGCGTTGCAGGAATGCGAAGCAGGTTCAGTAGGCTGTGACAGCTCTGTCAAGTGAATAATCAGCCATGCCTAGTGCACCACAGTCTCTTTACAAAGATGCAAACATAAATCTTGTCAAACTTTCATATTCCGGTGAGTTTACCCTTCGTTACTATCACAGCTGGTAGCTCTCTGCGTAAGCTGGCTGTGCTATAGAATCCACGAGCTAAAGGTGGAGAGGCCTATTGAATCACACTGTCTTCCTGCCAGTGCATGACAAAGGTAATTCTGATGGTGAGTTGGCGACAGTCAAAGTAACTGAACCAAAAATTGATCTCTGCCTTACCCCATCTGAAACTGCACGTGGAGCACCAAGGCGCACACAAGATGCTGAGTGTTGACTCAGGACTGCTGCACTCACACAGGTGAGGGAGCACAGAGCATCCCTGCTCCTGGCAGAGTTAAGGACACCACGTGCGATGCTCTTTGTGTTATTTTATGCTTGATGTGCCACTCAGCACTGCAACCAAAGACTTGGTATCTTCCCTTCTACTGGTTGGAGTTCCTTGTGAAATTTGGAAATGATTCCCAGTTCTCCTTAACGCAGAACCGAATTACAACTTTATGAGCTATTGCTGGGAGGGGCAACAAATTATCCCGGAGATAAGTGTTCACTTCCTTTGGTCAAACAGGAGGGCTGGTGCTGGTGGTGAGCACAGCATGCCTTGTGGCACCTGGCTGCAGTCAGAGCTATCCACCCTTGGGTCTCCAGGGCTGCAGTCCTCCCCAGGAGACTGGGGAGAGCTGGGCTTGTTAGCAGAGCATACGTGGAGTCAGTGCTGTCCAGGAGAGCTGAGGGAGGAGGTCAGCTGAAGTTCACATCCAGCATTTGCCTTCTGCAGGCACTTGAAGCTGGCACTGCCACCAGGAGGGGTGGAGGAGGTTGATTTTTAACCTGCCTTGTTCTCCGTGCTTGGCGGCGTAAGGAGAACTGCGTGGCATTGCGAGCGAGTCACTGATAACGGGGGGAGGAAGGAGCAACCTATGGGTGTCAGCTCAGCCCTGCTGGGAGGTTTGCGCAGGCACTGGTGGCTGCCATTGCCGTGCTTCATGGGAGGGGATCTTTCCTGCGTGACTCCTTGCAGCCAGCCACGTTTTCCAACATTGCTGGTAACGTCTGGCTTCTCACTGCTTATCCTTTCCTGAATGTCGGAGAGGATCTCTGGGAGTAACAGATTCCAGAACAAACTGCTGACCATACGACGCTGCGCTCACAGAACCAGACGGCTGGTTGGGAGCAGCCTCGTGCTCAGCAGCCGTGGCTGGAAATGTTTCCCATCAGTGGAAACTCGGTGGGCCTGGCTGCTGTCAGTGCCCAGTCTGTTCCCGTCAGTGCTGTCCTCTGCCTGGTTATTTGGGGTCTGCCCACTTTGAGGTAATGCTGGAGAGCGGAGCTTTAAGGACGATGCTCCTTTTAGCTTCTTCTTCTTTCAGTTCGCCCATCTCTGTCCACCCGTGGTCACCTCTCCTTGAATATGTAGATTTTAAACTCTTAAGGACAGGGGACTTCTTTTTGTTAGGCTTGTAAGTGGTGCAGCAAGCTTCTGATCCAAGCCCCAAGGCGCTCTCACCATCCAGACGATGGATGATGTTTGTCATCACAGCCCACTGGGCAACCCAAGCTGTTACAGAGAGAACATTCCTGTTGGAGAAGTTCCCTTTTGGTTTTGATTTAGAATAAACGTGAATGCATCAATTTTTCAGACACTGCCACCTGAAGGAACAAAAGGGTCAGTGCTTTTGTCTGTGGTTATAGCTCAGGCTGTAGGATCAAGGACTGGGTCTGCTCTCTGCTTCCAGAGCTCTTTGAGCTTGTAAATATGTGCCAGTTACCCTGGAGGCAGGCCTGCTGGAGACCAGGAGCCTTTGAGCTTCTCCAGAGCAATAAAAGTCTGTGTTGTCTTGTCTAATAAACAGAACAGCAGTGAATCTTAAAGGACCTCCAGACCCATCCGGATTCAGACCACTTTTGTCAGCCCTCTTTTTCATTACTTTAACACTGACTTGAAAGTATGTCTCAGTTGTTTCTTCGTGGCCTGAAGATCCCCCAGAAATGCCAGGTTTTGGTGGAAGGGAGCTTTGTCCTCCTGGATGTTGCACCCAACCCTGGCAGACCCGAAAAGAAGCGCGATTCATCCTCCTTTCTGTCTGCAGGAAAACAAAGTGGGAGATCATGTTTGCACGTGGTTTGGTGCGGCTCGTGAGGGTAACGTGGTCGCTTTAACGTTGCAGGTAAATTTGCAGAAGACATATTTGGAGAGCTGTTTACTCAAGCCAACACTTTTGCCTCCCGGGTGAGCGTTCTTGTCGAGAGAGTTGACCGCTTGCAAGTCAAAGTCACTCAGCTGGATCCCAAAGAGGAGGAAGGTAATGCAGTGCAGCACAGTCCCTGCAGACAGAGCTTAGTAAAGGTTCTCTCTGAGCGTGGCTGATTCGTGGCCCCACGGTGAGCCTGGTGCTGTGACTGGTGTTCGAATGCCTTCCCTTGGACTGAGGGGGGCTGTTCCACTCCTCCCAAAAAGACCCGGTGCTGCCACGCGGGCGTCCGTCTGGCCGAGGAGAGATTTGCTTGTTAGCAGATCTGTGTGTGGCAGCTCGTCCTTCAGCACTTGGGTACCATAGATTTCCCAAGTCTTGGTTGCAGGGGTTTGAAACCACACAGCAGCTCTCAAGCCACGTCTGTACAGCAGCAGATCTTGTCACAGCACGGCCTGGGACTTGCTGGGCTTCCCAAGAGATCTGTGGGAAAAGAACCTGAGCTGAAGGAGCGCTAAGCACACCAACAACTCCAGCTGAAGTCAGATGGTTGCTGCTTGATCCTCAGTGCCGTTGGCCTGGGTCAAGCTGCTCTTCACTTGCTCTTTTCTCTTTCTTACAGTCTCCCTGCAGGGCATTAACACCAGGAAGGCCTTCAAAAGCTCCACTACTCAGGACCAGAAGCTCTTCGACAGAGATTCTCTGCCGGTGCCTGTCCTTGAAACCTATGGGACCTGCAATACTCCTCCACCTCTCAACATTCTTTCCCCTTACAGGTAACACCACGGCACCTCCGTAGGCGTTTGTTCCCTGACAGAGGAAGCTTCTTCCTCCCAAACATCTGAGGTCATTTCCCATCCCCTGCTGTATTGAAGTAGCCATCTTTAATTGGAAATAGATTTGGAGATCCGCCGGGAAATCTCCGTCCTTTGGATTACATGAAACTTTGCTTTTGAGGCTGTACAAATGAGCATAGCTAGAGAATTATACGTTTGGTTACCTGCTGTCACTTTTGTGACTGCCTTGGGGCAAGGCTTGGCTTGCACTGCATAAACATGCTAGGTGTTGTGCAGATGATGCATTTTTCTTGTGCTTCACTGTAGCCCCGTGGCTTCTTTCCAGAAAGCCGCAGTGCAAACTGCAGAGCATCCATCTGTGTGTGGCTCTCACCCAGGTGGGTGCAGCAGGCTCCTGTAGGTCTGGAGATGCTTCCCATGGCCTCCCATGCCTGGCCTGAGTCCTCTGATGTGACCTAGGTGGGCTTTGTGAGCCCTTCTCCCGAGCGGTCCTGCCGTGCCATTTCATCTTGTCCGTGGCAGAAGTAAGGGGGTCGGAATACAGAGACTGAGCCCACATCCATAAATATCTTTTGAACAGGTAAAAAGTAATTACAGATAGCTGGAGGCAGCTGTCTTCTGCCAGACGCGGCTGCACTGCAAAGTAGGAGAGTGAGTGTGTGCACACACACGAGTTTCAAGGACGCTGCCGCTCTGATTTAGGGTTCCCGGGCTGGAGGAGATTTTTTCACACCAAAAATACAACACAAACAAGTGGGAGTTGGAGTGAGAGACCTGCTGCTCTCCTGGTGGTTGCTCAGAGCAGCCGAGTTCTTCAGGTGCTGAAACGCAGAGTTTGTGTGAGGGTGGAAGGGATGGCAGGTGGGAGTGCTGGGACGAGCGGCGGCTGCTGTGGGTCTGCTGCCTGTTCTTAAATGGAGGACAGAGGCGAGAGCAGAGCGTTTGACCTTCTGATTGCAGACTTTTAATCTGCTGTCTGGGCTGGTGGCTTTTATTTTCTTTGGGCTGCAAACAATTGCATGACTTGGCCTCTTGATGTGTGCGTTTTCTCCTCCCCGTTCTAGGGACGATGGCAAGGAGGCACTTAAATTCTACACGGATCCTTCCTATTTCTTTGACCTTTGGAAAGAGAAAATGCTTCAGGACACCAAGGATATTATGAAAGAGAAGCGGAAGCACAGGGTGAGAAATGGGAGATGGCTGCCATTTCAGCAGCACGTCAGGGTGGGAGAGGAGGTGGGAAGCGTTAATGAACTGCGGGCTCCAAAGTTGCCATCCAAAAATGAGGTTTACTCTCTTAAGCTCTTTGGGGATCAATTCAGAGAAGTTTTGATCTGCTTTACTTTCATCGCTGTTAATTAAAAAGAAGACAACAAGGATACCCTTAATCTGTTTTTCCAAATGCCATCTTCTCTGTGTTGTTAGAAGGGTTTAATTTGTCTTCAGACAGCGCTGATGCAGTCAGCAGAGCAGGGCTGTGTCAGTCTTCTCTGTGTTGTGGTGCTGCACGGGGGTCTGCTGGGTGTTGAAGCAGCGCCAGCCCCTCTGCCCCAGCGCCACGCTTTGCCAGTGCTGCAATAAATTCTGTTGTGGAAGAGTCAAAAAACAAAGGAGAAAACCTTCAGGAGTGCCAGAAGAGGCCATAATGTTCAATGAGCGGCCATCAGGAGGCTTAGCAAAGCCTTGTAGGCTGAAAGCACCAGGTGAAGCTCCTGATTTGGTTAGTGGGGGATTTGAACCGATGCTGAAAGCGACGCCGTAAAAGCCTCAGTTTGAGCATGCTTCATTTAGCTTTCCAGCAGCCAAAGTCCCAAATATCAAAACAGATGCAGCTCTTTCCGTGTCAGAGTGACAAAGGAAGGAGCTTGGACGAGTCAGAACACAGAAAACGAGGCTGCACACCCCAAGCGTTAACACCAGCGAGGCGGTGGTGGGCTTTGGCAGCCTTGACACGCAGGCCAAGAGCAGAATTGATGAGGGGAAACGGAGCTCTCACTGCCCCCGAGGTGGTGGTGCCAGGCTGTGGCCCTGACGTCATGCTGAGGAAGCTGGGTGGTGTCTTCTGCTGCTCTCTGTGCTCCATCTTCTTTGTCTGGGAGGACGTTGGAGCTTTCAGCAGTCGGGAAAATGAGTGACAAATCTCGGCCCTCTCAGAGAATGTGCTTTCTTGAAACTGCTGCAGGTCTGTCCCATCCCTTCCTGTTCCCAGGGAGTTTAAAGCAAAATAAGGCTTTTGTTTGATTCCTCCTCCCTTTCCTTTCCTCCTGTAGAAAGAGAAAAAGGAGAATCCGAACCGAGGAAACGTGAACCCACGGAAAATCAAAACCCGAAAAGAAGAGTGGGAGAAACTGAAAATGGGGCAAGAATTCGTTGAGATAAAGGACAAACACGGTCCTGCTGGGTAAGCAAGTCCTGGGCTCTGCTCTGCTCCCCAGCAAGGGGTAGCGGGCAGGTGGTGGTGATTGTAATGCAGTTCACCCTGCTCTGCAGCTTCTCCAGATCTGCCGCACAGTGCGGATCGATACTGCCACTAATCAGATTCTCCAAAGTAAATCCATCTGCGGATTTAGAATTTGCTAAATAAATCAGGGAGCCACACGGCTCGAACAAGGGGGCAGGAACAGCCTCAGCAGCACGTGGGCACGGAGCAGAGGCTGTGGCTGCGCGGCCCTGGCGGTGCCCTTCCCGTCCCCCGAGCTCTGGGGCTGGTGCTGAGGAGCAGGGTGGCGCCTGCTGTGCAGTGATGGCTCTGTTAGATCTCACAAGCCGCTCTTCACGCCCTGAAGTTGGAGCGGGGGCAGCTCCCATCCAAGTGTTCCAAGCTACAGATCTCTCTTTAGTGCTTTTGGCTTGGGAATTCATTTAACTTTTGACACCAGCTAGGCTGGAAGCAGACTGAATTCCCCACAATGCACCTCTCTCTTGCTTGCTCCTCGCAGCTTCCTTTCATACAAGAAAAATCTCTCTTTAAATCACACTCTCCAGCTAAAAATAAAACTTGCTCCTAGTTTAATAGGAGGACAGGTTTGGTTTCTAGCAGAGGAATCGAGCAGCACAACAGCACCTTTCCCTGCTCCTCTGTTTTCTGGCATCAGTGCCTGCATGCGTCTGAATGCTTCTGAGGAGCAGTTGCAGCACCTCGCCCCACGGTGAGATGAGCCCACTGACACCTGAACAGCTGCACTGAGCAGTGCTTCAGTTGGGATGCTTGCTTTTAATGGCATGCCATGTCTTTTCAGTAGCTCTTCTTTTTGTCCCTGATGACACCCAGTGTAACTCAGAGCCTTTCGAGGCCAGCTTGCTCAAAATGCACCCTTTTATTTTTTTCTATCATCAAATACTTCAAAAATATTTTTGGTTTTCTTGTTGCTGGCTAAAATACATAATTGTATTCTGATACATGGTAGCAGTGACCGAGCAGCAGTGTATCCAGCAAAAGGATTACACAGAGTGAACCGCACGTGATCCTTCATATAGGATGCTTTGAGAAATAGAGGCTTCTTGTTTTTAACTGTTGCTTTCAGGTTTTGCTTCCTGTGCCCTGTTGTGGTGGTTGATAAGGTCCCACCTCGAGGCAGGTCCAGCTGTGCTGGGAAAAGCCTTCCTGCCAGGAAACCTAATTTCTGAGCCTTGCAGGTTGATCCATCTACTTGGTTAATATTACTGGTGCCACCGCCGCACAGCTGTGATGCTGCAGCCCTTCTGAGAGGCGATGCTCTCGTGAGCGAGGGGGAAAATGAGTTTGAGACGTCGCTTTGAACTCTTCAAACACAGCGCTTGCCTTCCTCTCTCAGGTACCCCTCTAACATGGTGTATCAGAACGGCAGCATTGGCTCCAATGAAAGCATGGAGGTGAACTGCTACCCGCCGCCGCCGCAGACTGACTCTATTGTGCCTCCACCTCCTTCGTTCCCAGATGACAGCCTGCCTCCACCCCCGGTGGAATTTAGGTAAGCCTACGGGATCCCTTCTGTCACCAGGGAGTAGTAGGTGGTGTAAAAGGATGACAGGAGACGTGAGATGGCACAGCAGAACTTCCTGACGGGCGCTGGATGGGAAGCAGCGTCCTCCTGTCTGGAGGGAGGTGCAGCAGAGCCTCTCTCTGCGCTTCTCAGCCACTGTGTGCAGGAGGGGAGAATGGATTTGGAGGAGGACTCAAGCAGAGCTGTTGTGCTTTCTAAAAGACCAGGGTCACATTTAATGGCCTGGCTCCGTGGCACGGCTTGGATCTGTCCCTCTTTTCCAGTGCAGTTCTTCCCGTGTGTGTAGGTTTACACTCCTGAGAGAGCTTTGCACTTGCAAAGTGCGACGACCACTTTCTTTCACTTTGCTATTGCCTCTTGCCCTGTGATTTCTGACAAATGCACGATGTGGGCGCTGAAGATGTAGATGTAATAAAATGTGAAGGACTGGAACACAGCAGCTGGCTCCTCCACAGCAGAAGTTCAGTGTGGCCGCTTTGTGTCAGATGAAACGGTGGCTTCCAGTCACCTCCAGAGATGAGAACTATGGTCCGGCAGTGGCTTGAGACACGGATTGAAATGAGAGAGCAGCTTTTTGTTTTCTCTTAAAGGCACTAACAGTATGTCTGATAGACAGGACTGCGTTCGCTTGTCTCCATCTTATCCAGAGGCAGCAGTGCTGCAGAAAAGGCTCTTCTGATGTGTCAGAGAGACCAAGCACTCCACTCTGCAGCATGTTCCTCTAGGGCAGAGCAGAAATGAGCTTTCAGATGAAGCTTAAGCTGCCTTATGCAGTTCCTTAGATCTCTGCCCAGCCACAGAGATCTCCTCTCTGGTTTTGTTTTGGTGGTTTGTTTTTAAAGAATCCTGGGAGTGAGGTTTGATCTCCAGTGGTCTGTCACGGATCAGCGTTTGTGCACTGCCAAAAACTGTGACATTTCTGTGGCAAACAGACCAAACCTCTTTTGCCTTGCAGTGCAAGATGTCGTCAGTTTGGGGCTTCCTTTACACGCACGTAGGATGCTGCAGTCCCTTCTGGGTAGCGTTGCTCTCTGCTGCAGCACAGCTCCCATGGATGGGAACTCGGTGTTCTCCCTGAGAGCACACTGGGTGCTCATCCCTTCGTTCCCCACGGGGAGCTGTGAGACGTGGTTGCTGCGCTCCAGCTCTGAGCCACGGAATCCAGCGAAGAGATCTGTTCCTAGCAGGTGCTGAGAGCATATGTTCTCCTGGCAGACCCGCCAGCCCCTGTGCCATTTATCACAGTAGATGTCCCTGCTTGGCGTGTCAGAAGTCTGACCTCAGCATGGAGGGATAGCAGCTAGCAGTGCTGCAGGAGCTCTTAAGCCAAGAGGCTTCTCTGAGCTCAGATGTGACGCCTGGCCTCTGGCAGGGAGGTGAGATGGCTCGTGTTCTTGTCAGCCTGGGAGATGGGACAGATGATAGCGTTGCTGCCAGCCCCCAGAAGCTCTCCTTTGTTCTGGTGGTGGTGGCCAGAAGAAACCCTGCAAGAAAACTAAAACCCGAGGAGCGAGGTCTCATGGAAACACCAGCTGAAGCTGGAAGTCAGATTTTTGTCTGGGCTGCAACAGACACACATGATTCTCATTAACATGGAGTCTGTACGGTCTGACCTCAAAGCTAACGGCCTTATTTGTCTCTGCTTCTTTTGCAACAGCTATCCTGTAGACAACCAAAGAGGTTCTGGTTCTGGAGGGACCAAAAGATCCAGCCTGGTCAGCCCGAGCCACCCACCGCCAGCTCCTCCGATCGGATCCCCCGCCGGGTCCAGGCCGGGCTTTGCTCCCCCTCCAGCACCGCCTCCACCACCACCAATGATGGGCAGCACCCCTCCTCCACCGCCCCCATCCCCAGGCACCCCGCCGCCGCCCTCTCCCCCCTCTTTCCCACCTCACCCCGACTTTGCTGCCCCGCCTCCACCGCCGCCCCCTCCAGCGGCCGAATACAGCGGCGTGCAGCCCCCTCCTCTGCCCCAGCCAGGGGGTGGGAGCGTGCCACCCCCCCCGCCCCCCCCACCGCCTCCTGGCCCCCCGCCTCTGTCTTCCAGTGGCCTCGATGGGCCCCCGGCGCCGCCTCCACCCTCAGACACCTCCTCCTCCAAGCCCAAGTCATCCCTGCCCGCTGTTAGCGATGCCAGGAGCGATTTGCTTTCGGCGATTCGTCAAGGTAAGATTGCGTCTCAGCTCCTGCTTGCTCCACAGCCTGTGGAATATCCACGGTGCGCCGGGCGAGAGCTGGGGGAGCTGCCTCACGAGCGGGGCTGCGGCTGCCCCGCTGTTGGAGGTTTGTTGCTGTCTCCTTGTCTGCCCAACCTGATGATGGCCTCGGTGGCTGTGTGCCTCTGCCTGCTCCTTGGAGACGGCAGTGCCGGATCTGCCGCAGTCCGAGTTTGCAAAGTGGGCTGAATGACAGTGGTGTAACCCTTCGGAGGAGCGCAGAACCGTTCAATTCCCATTCCACCTGCCCACCCAGCCTGTCTTGGCTGTCATTCTCCATCACTGTTCTTCCATAGCGTGTCCAATACTTGCTGGCAGAGTAGGGGCTGTCTTGCTCAGAGGATTTCATCAAAGGGACGGCCGCCTTGGGGATTTCAGCGTGACCAAAGCCTTTGAACGATCCCCTCCGTTGCCTTCTTCCCAACAGGCTTCCAGCTCCGCAAGGTGGAAGAGCAGCGGGAGCAGGAGAAGAGGGACGTTGTGGGCAACGACGTGGCGACCATCCTGTCGCGCCGCATCGCCGTGGAGTACAGCGACTCTGAGGATGACTCTTCAGAGTTCGATGAGGACGAGTGGTCGGATTAACCACGGCCCCGTCCCCTCGGTTCCCTTCCCTCCTGGGTTAACGGCTTCTTAAAGAAGCAGGTGGCCAAACCTTCCGCCGTTTCCTTTTCATCCCGTAACCAAAGATGTGCCAAGGGTTTTCAGACAACCACCAGCATATCTCCCCTCTCCCTCCCCCCCGGGCTTTGGCAGGACTTTGTGCTCTGCCTTTCCAATAGGTCTCCTCGCAGGCAGTGAGGATGGAGGCGTTGGGATTTGGCTGGAGGCAGTGCAACGGTTGCTTATTTAAGAGAACTAAACCTCCAGATCCTCGATGCCACCAGGCAGAGCACACAAAACCCCTCCGTCCTGAGGGATTTTTAAAGCAAAGATGGATGATCCTGTTGTGGCCTTTCAGATGAAGGACGTTTTCAGCTAGTTTCCTCATTGCAACAGCAGGCAGTTGATCTAGTGGCTCTTCCTTTCCAGTGAATACTGGTAGTGCTGCAAGAAAACGGGCTTTAAATGTCTGTTTTCTGCTGCATCCCACTGTCACATAATCAGTTTTCGGCACAATTCCTTCCCCTCTGACCCTCCTCAGTATTTCCAGACTCACCCCTGCAGGGGGGCACTGCTGGCTGTAGGGCTGCAGCGTGCATGGGGTGCAATGAGAGGGGGCTGTGTTCCTTTTTAAAGCTGCCTTTACCTCCCTCAGCAACCTCCAGGACTGCTTTGCCACAAGGGAGCCTTGCACAAAGGGATGCAGGGCTGCAGCAGGACGGCTGCTTGGCTTCCTGCTGCAGGGAGAGCAGAGCTGACGGCTCCGCTTCGTGCTGAAAGAAACAAAGCAAAACCCAGAAGTGCCTACAGCAGGGAAGCAGCAGGGAGGGCTGCTCTGAGCACCAGGCCCCGTTTGACCAGTTGGAATCGCTGCTTCTCTCCTGCAGCGAGCGCGCTTTTGCAGAGAGCATTGCTGCAGGAATTGCTGGTGTTACTTTTGCTTCCTCCTCCCTTTCACTTCAGGATTGGGGGGGTCCTGTGCCTCAAACCACCTCGTGTGTGTGAGCTGAGTTGCCCGTTGGTTCCATCACACCTCACCCGTGTTGTTCCCCGCGTTTTGTTCCTGTAGTTGATTAGTTAATTTCTTAACTAATTTCCTCTCCCAGCTAACCCTGCGGATTCCTAGGCTGCTCACTACAGGCAGGGGAAGAAAATGGAGAACTTGAACCAGCTGACCTAGGTGTTACTGCTGTTTTATATTACATAGAATATATGCATATCTTGGAAATCTATAAGCAAATCTCCCAGTGCTACAGATGTGCTTGTTGTATTTTAATTTGAGCACAAGTGTCTCAGAAAGCGATTTCAAAGCCTTGTGGCTCAGGCTGCTGTGGGCTGGGACCATTAAGACCAAATCTCCAACCTGTTTGCCTTTCTAATTGTAAAGTATTCTGCCAGCCTGTGCCTGTTGTTCCCTCTCCAGCTCGCCTTGTTTCGTGGTGTTGCTGATAGCTGGGGCGCCAGGCCCAGCCGGAGGCTGCTGGGTTGCTGAAAACCTTTCTTAGGGGTTTGATTGATGATTTCAGTTTGTGCCATCGAGTTCTTACTGATTTCTCGCGTGTGTTGGTGCATTTTTAATGTGTGCCAGAGCAGATGAGGGCCTGGAGGAGGGGCTGTGCTGCGCTGTGGGTCAGGCTGAGATCCGGCTCAGCCCTGAGCACAATCAGGAGAGATGGGCCAGGCTCTCCACCGTTACATTTCTGTGCAGAGCGGGATGCAGAGGACAGAGCGAGGCATCCCAGCAGGCTGGGAACATCTGAGCGGCGCTCATTGCAGGTTCTGGAAGAGGGAAAGAAACCCCTCGAGTGCCAGCGAGCCGTCGTGCAGCAGAGGGACTTGGAAATGCAAAGTGATCAGCGCTGCACGCTGCGTGAGGGGGGCTGGAGGAGAATCGCTGCCTCTTGTTTTTCTGCTCCTTCTGTAAGCATCCTCCTCTGGCTCCTCTTGGAGACAGGTTCCTGGGGAAAACAGAGCTCTGAGCTAAGCCAGGCTGACAGCATTATCACACAGGGAAGCGCGGAGCTCACAAATGCCAAACCTGGGTTAATTTTAAATTGCCTTAAGTAGATTTGGCCCCCTGTTGGGAAAGGGGAGCGAGTTATTGGTGTCGTGAGAAATGCAGAGAAATGCAGAGAAGTGCCACGCTCCTCACAGCCCGGCGTGTGGGGCAGAGCTGCGCCTCGGGGCGCTGGGGACGCGGCCACCCCACGCCTGTGGCACAGGGATGGTGGAGCACGGGGCTCCAATGCCTCGCCTGCTCTGGAGCCCTGCTGGCAGCAGGAGGGGTGCAGCTCCGGCTGTGCAAGCCTGCTTTTACCCACGGCCGCTTTCAGATCCGGGGTGAGAGGCAGAACTGCAGGGAGGCAGAACTGCAGGATCCCGAGCGCAGGGATTGCAGATCAACAAAGCAACGGGTGCGAGGTGCCCGTCTGTGAGCAGAGCTGCAGAGCTGCAGAGCTGCAGAGCGCCGGGCCGCTGAGCGAGCCTCGTATTTCTGAACCCAGCAGGGGAGGAGGAGAGGTGCCAAAAACAACCTTTGCGAAGCAGAGCAGCTGTGCGGTGCTGCAGGCCCCGCGCTTTCCTCCTGCCATCTTTGCTTCTTTGCAAAGGTCTCATCTTTGCAGGGCCGGGCGGAGCGGCGAGCCTCGAGCGTTCGGCACGGCCAGAAGCAGAGCTGGCAGCCGCGGGCCTCCCCTCTCTGCCCGCCCCCGTGGGTGTCCGCACGGAGCCGGGGCCGCCGCTGCCCCCCTCCCCTGCTCACACGTTTCTTTGCCCGCAGTGCCTTGGCGCGCAGGGCTGGCCGTGTCCCCGCTGCCTGGCCTCAGCCTGGAGCCTCGTCTGCAGCCGGTGACCTTCACCGCTTTTCGCTCTCCTTATCGGAGCCGAGCGCCGGCCGCGCTGGAGCGCCGGCCGCGGTGGAGGGAAGGGGCTGCGCGGTGCCATGCGGAGCCGCGCGGCGTCGTTTCAGGGAAGGGCCGTTTGTGCCCGTGAGCTCAGGCGCGGCGCTGCGCTTTGGAGCCCCTCGCAGGCAGGTGCTGCTGCCCCAGCTCAGCTCTCCGTGCTGCTGCATTTCGGGGCTGCTGATTCCCCTCCTGTTTGATTTCTTTAAACAAAGCCTTGAAGTGGGGAAGCGGATTCGCTGGGTTTTATTACCGTATTAACATTCATTTAAATCCATTTCAGAAACTAACTCCTTTCTCTTCCTACTTAGAATGTCTTAGGCGAGCTGTAACCCTTCCAAAGTGCCTTATTTTTCCTATACGACATAAATATATTTATAAGAACTGTGCTGTGTGTGGCCGGGGCGCTGCAGAGCAGGGCGGCGTTGGACCGATGCTCTCAGGGCGCCGGGGGGGGAATTGGGTTCCTCACTTCAGACCAAAGGAGTTTCGGCGCCGAAACTCTGCTTAAAGGATAAAAAAAGAGAGAGAAGCACCAGCTGAGGAGCAGAGCGCTGCCTCCCTGGGCTCGGTTGTTCCCCTCTCAGAGCAAACGCTGATGGCACGGCTGGTGAAAGCCGGGCTTTCCTGCTGCCACTTTCAACCCCTTGGATGATGAAGATCCCGATTGCAATTTTTATTTTATTTTTTTTGTAATGTAGACGTGGAAGAAAAAAAAAAAAAACCAAACAACCCAACAAAGCCAACAAACCACGACGGTCCTTATTTTTAAAACCTCAGACTCGATAAAAAAAAACCTTTCTATCCATCGGTGCCTTCGTGTGTTCTTGTGGGAGCCGTGACGTGCTGAGCTGCCGCTCCTGCCGCCCTGCAGAGCCGTGCGAGAGCCCTGCGCTGCGGGGCCGCGCTGTCCTTTGCGATGCTGCTGCTGGAGCTCAGCATGGCGGAGCCCCCATCCAGAAGCAGCGCCGTGGGGCCGCAGCCTCGCTCCGTGCGCCGTGAGCTGCGCTCTGCCCTCGGGTTCCGCCTCCACCTCGGCTGCACGAGGTCCCTGTGCGCTCAGGTGCGCCTCCTGGGCTCGCTGTCGGCCCCTTCTTGCTGCTGGATGGCGAGCAACAAAAGCGCCGTGCTTTGCCTGCCTGCTTCGCCAAATCCCTCAGCTTCCCAGAGCCCCCCGCGCGCTCCGCGGCGCTGTGCCTTTCCTGGCTGACAACGGTCCCTGGCTGCAAAACCTCATTAGATTAATTGGCCCCGCCAGCTTCTGAACCAGCAAGCCCTCTCCCGTGCTGGGGCACGGAGGGCAGGGAAGGAGCAGCTCTGGGCTCTGCGTCCCGATGGCTGCGGGCTCCATCTCGTGTCGAGCAGCCGGGGAGCTGCGGTCGGTGATGGTTGGGGCTGCCTCAGTGCTTTTGCCTTTGCTCTGCAGGGCTGCGCGTCGCGCTGGGGGAGCAGCCGTGGTGTGAGCAGCACGCGGGGCAGCGGGGGGAGCGGAGGGGCCCGGTGGCAGCGCAGGGCTGAGCTGTGCGTGGGGAGCAGAGCCCAGCGGCGAGATGAATGGTGGGCTGGTGCTCTGCAGCCCCGCGCCCTTGCTGGGAGCTGCCGGGAGCTGCTGGGCCGTGCCTTGGCACCGCAGCCCCGTCTGATGTTTGTGTGTCTTCTGCCACGGCGCTGGGCACCACATCACAGCTCCGACTTCGCGGTCTCCAAAGCAGAGCTTAATTCTCTCCTTGGAGGTGGTGCGAGCAGCGCCCCGCAGCCTCTGCCCAGTGGGCTGCTGTCCTTCCCACGGCTGACGTCAGCTCCTCTCCTCCGTTCCCCCTCCGGGACCGACGTGCTGCCAGCTCCCATCAGCGTTCGGCCCCGCCTGGCAGTGCCAATGTCACCCCGGCACGGCTGCGGTGCTCCCTGTGGAGGTGTGCGGGATGGCAGCTCAGCCCGCACAAATGGCCAGCCATCTCCTTCCTCTCTCTCTCTCCCTCTCCCTTTTCTGCCTCGGTTTTCTTTTTCCCCCTTATTATTTTATGTTTTCTCCCCCTGCCCACGCGGCGCTGAGCAGGGAAGGCGAGCGGCTCCCGTGCTGCGGATGGCTTTATCTGCAACTCCTCCATCTGCTCACAGCAGCTCGCAAATAACCGCGGGGTGCCAGAGGAATTATGGATTTGGAGCTCGGGTTCTGCAGCCTGCCAGGGCAGCCTCTCTGCGCCGGCCTTGGCTGCCTGCACCGCCTGCATGGGGCGCCGGGGCTGCAGGGGGGGCTCCGTCCCGTCACCCGGAGCTGCGCACGGGTTGGAGCTGCACAGCCGAGGGCACGGCCTGCGGGTCGCCCTGCATCCCTGCTGCACAGCCTGGGCTCGGAGCAGCGCCGCAGGAGCCGGGGATGCTGCGTGCTGAGCAAACCTGCCCAGCTCCTGCTGTCTGTGCGCTTCTTTCCCCGTTTCCTGTACTCCCGATGGGTGAAGCTCCGCTCCTGGATGCTGCCTGCGCTTCCAGGGAAGCAGAATCCCCAGCACCAGGGCAGAGGATGCTTATTTTGGCAGAACTCAGACCCACGATTGCAGCTGCTCAGCCTCTGCACGGCATTCCAGTTCCGTTCCCGGATCCCTGACCTTTGTTGGGGCTTTAGGAGCTGCACGGCCTCCCTCCTTCCCTCCCCCTTCCCGTCGGCAGAGCCCTGCTTTTGGCACCGGGACGAGGCCGTGCTCGTTAGCGCATTGCTGGGGGAGCAGCCCTGCCTTCGCCATGGTTACTGCCAACCCGGTGGCCTTGCTGCTGGGCACGTGCCGAGCAGAGCTGGGGAGCAGAAGCCGCAGCCCTGGGAGCGGTGCTGGGGGGGGGGGGGGGGGGGGGGGGGCTCACGGCACAGCCTGGCCCTGCTGGGAGCGAGGGCTGTGTGCCAGATGTGCTCACAGCTGGAGCGATGCGTTGCCCGTCCTGCTCACAGCAATGCCTGCAGCCCCGAGCTTCCCACCCCCCCCCTCCACCTCCCCACCACCACCAGCAGCACGGGGGGAGGGGGGGGGGTTTATGGGGAGCTCTGCTTTCTCCCGCAGCAGGAATTGGTTTTCAGAACCCCCCCAGCTCGCTGTAGGATCACGTTGGCTGTCGTCTGTCTCAGTGCTGGGGGGTCCCAGCGTGGAGCTGCGTGCTGTGCCGGTGTCCCCGTGCTCAGGGAGGTGACAGCAGCCGTGTGACAGTGGGGGAACTGGGGCACCCAAAGCTTTGCTCCGTTCCCTTAATTGTGATAGGGCCAAAAGGAGCCCCCAACCCAGATGTCCTGTGTGTCCCCATCACCCCATAAGGAGAAGGGACCCCTCCTCTTCCTCCCCTCCTCTTCCTCCCCTCCCCAAGTTCCTCCCCTTCCTCCACATCCCCACGTGCCCCCGGGTGCTTCGACGCCTGGAAGTGACCCAGTGCCCCCAGGAGGCACCAAGGGGGGGGGGCGGGGGGGTTTGGGGGGTCGTGGGACCCAGCACCCAGAGGGGACAAGCTGCCCTAATTAGCGCTGTGATCATTAACCCCGCCTTCCCCGTGCTACTGCCGTGTGTGTGTGTTCCCCCCCCCCGTGCTTTGCATGGCGTTCAATGCAATCGACCCCTGCCCCCCCCTCCCGCCCTACATCACCCCTCCCCCCCCCGCGGTGTCACCGGGGGTCGGCAGCAGTCGCATTTCCCAACCACGCGCATTGAGGGCAAAGGGGGGGGACACCAACCTGCCCCCCCCTCCCCCAGCATCACACAGCTGCATCTCATATCACAAATCGCTTTTATTCCCCCCCAACCACCGCAAAACGGCTGCAATCAAAGCTCAAACGCGACCCCCTCCCCCCCCCCCCTAGAAAAAGTGCAAATGCACCCCCAGCGCAAAGGAACGCTTTGGTGGAGGTGTGGGGCAGCTCCGGTGCTCGGGGGATGGGGGCTCATGTGGGCACCCGAAGGCAGTGGCAGCAGAGGGCAGTGCTGCGCCTCCAGAATTGCCCCCAAAAATAAAGAACGGACCCCAAAATAAAGAGATTAATATGGGGAGGGCGGGGGGCATCTGCAGCAATTCCCCCTCACCTCCATTTGAGGTCAAATAAGCAGAGGGGAGCGAATGTCCCTCCCCAGTCCCCCTTCCCCCCCCCCCCCCCAGTCTCCCTTGTGCAAATTGGGGCTGTTTGGGGTAAAAACGTTTCTTTGTGGAAGAAAGGGGGGAGGGCTGTCAGTGGGGGGCAGACAGACGTCAGTGGGGGCAGCTGCTGCTGGGCGACAACCAGGTGATGGGTGACAACCAGATGTCACTGTGTGACGGCCAGCCATCACCAGGTGACCATGAGACGTCGCTGGGTGACAAACAGGTGCCATCAAGTGACAGTAACACCTCATGGGGCACAGCCAGATGTCACCGGGTGACAACAGCACACCAATGGGTGACAATCAGCCTCTAGCAGGTGACAATGGGACATCATGGGGTGACAAACAGATGCCATCGGGTGACAACAGCACATCACTGGGTGACAACCAGTGATAACCAGATGTGACCAGGTGACAATCAGCCATCGGTGGGTGACAACCAGGCATCATCAGTGACAACCAGCCACCACCAGGTGACCATGAGACGTCACTGGGTGACAGACAGATGCCATCAGGTGACAGTAACCTCACTGGGCACAGCCAGATGTCACCAGGTGCCAACAGCACATCACTGGCTGCCAACCAGACGTCACCACCGGCAGCCCCACGTCCCTTGGGGGCGATCACACATCGCCGGGCGTCCGGGAGCGGAAGGGCACCGCGGCAGAGCGGCACCCGCAGCACAGCGCCCACAGAACCTTCCGGAGCTCGCCGTTACGGAAGGCGTAGATGAGAGGTTGAGGACGGAGCCGGCAGCAGCGGGCGGCAGCAGGAGGTGGGCAGAGCCGCGGCCACCCCGCAGGCAGAGCGCGGCCGAGGCGCCCAGCGTGAGCGCCAGCGCTGCCGTCCCTGTGCGCGCCGTGCCGCCGCCCGCCCTGCGAGCTGCCTCTGCGCGGCCTCGTGCTGCGCGTGCCGCCGGGCGACGCGGCTGATCTGCGCGCGGAGCTGCAGCAGCACGGCGAAGGCGGCCAGGGGGGAGACGGAGGGGGCGGCGAGGTGGGGCCGGCGGAGCGGCCGGATGGAGCCGCAGGAGGACGGATCCCGCACGCAGTTCCAGCGCAGGGCGGGCAGCGGCCCGCAGCACAGCGATGCTCCCCAGGCGAGCGGCAACGTGAGCCGGGTCCGGCCGCCCGCCCGCCCCGAGCTGTAGGTGAGCGCGTGCTGCAGCGACGCGAAGCGCTCGGCGGCGATGGCCAGCAGGGAGCACGCGCTGGCGGTGAAGGCGGTGAGCAGCAGCCCTGCTGTCCCCAAAGCCAGCGCCTCCGACGGCACCAGACGGATGGAAGCGAAGCGCAGGATGAGGCCCAGCCCCACCAGCAGGTCGGCGGCTGCCAAACTGCCCACGAGGAGGAACGTGGGTGCACAGAGCGCCGGCGTCACCACCAGCAGCGCCAGCACCGCCAGCAGCGCCAGCACCGCCGCATTCTCGCAGCTGATGATGGTGCTGGAGACGCACGGCACGACGTCCCATGGATCCAAGGGCAAAGGTTGGAGCGTGGACTCCGAGGACGGAACGCTGCCATTCTGCGCCCCAAAACCGCCGTGCTGCGCCGTGCTCGCGTTGGGGGGCCGCAGCTCCATCATGGTGACGGGGTGGGGGTCACCTGTGGGGGGCAAAGCCAAAAGTGACCCTCAGCGCCCACCTGTAGGGCGGCACCCGCAGCACCTGGGGATCTGAGCGCTGCAAATGGTGGTGGATAAATCCTTGGGAGCAGCACCGGCCCCACCGCCTGCCCAACCCACCCCAAAAATAAGGAGGGAAGGTTATGGAGGCAGCCCCACTGCAAGGGTCTGAGCCCACAACCTCAGCACCCGTAGATGGGGGGGGGCTGCTTTGGGGTTCTGAGGGGGCACTGAGTGGGCAGCACAGCCCTAGGTATCCCCCCGCTGCCCTTCCCATGGCAATTTACCCAAATGGGCTGACAGCCCTTCCCCAGTGCCCTCATCCCACTGCCAACCCCATCCCAGTGCCAACACCTTCCCCAGTGTCCCCCCTCCCGTTGCCTTCCCATCCCACTGCATCCCACTACTTTCTAATCCCGTCACCCCCCCATCCCAGCACCCCTCCCCCCCCATCTCAGCATCCCCCCATTCCAGTGGGAAACTCATCCCAGTGCCCTCCCTTTCCACTGTCCCCCATCCTACTGCCTTCCCATCCCAGTGCATCCCACCAATCCCATCTCAACACCTCCCATCTCAGTGTCCTCCATCCCAGTGCCAACACCTTTCCCACTGTCCCCCCTCCCATTGCCTTCCCATCCCAGTTCATCCCAATACTCCCTCATCCCAGCAGCCCTCATCTCAACACCCCCCCATCCCAAAGCCAACCCCATCCCAGTACCCCCCTTTCCCAGTGTCCCCCATCCCAGTGCATCCCAGTAGCCCTTTATCCCAGCACCCCCCCCATCCCATTACCAACCCCATCCCAGTGCCAAACCCAATCCCAGTACATCCCAGTGCTCCCCCACCCCAATGATTTCCCCCATCCCTGGGCCTCCCCCACCCCAGTGTCTTCCAGTTCTCCTCCATCCCAACACCCCCCCATCTCAGTGTCTTCCATCCCGGGACCCCCCCAGCCCCAGTCCATCCCAGTCGTCCCCCCCCCCCCCGTTCCAGGCATTCACCTGCCGGGCTGCCGGTCCCGGGCTGTGCGGTGCTGCCCCGCAGCCATGGACGCTGCCGAGTGATGGGGACCGAACCCCTCCGAGTTGTGCGGGGGGGAGAGAAACGGGGGGGTGAGAGGTGTGAATCACCGCCCCCCCCCCCGCAGCCCCGTGACGTCAGAGCACGGCGGAGCCAATCAGCTCTCCGGGATGCGGGCGCGGGCGCGCGCCGCATCGTAATCACAGCGAGGCGGGAGCGGCCCATTCATAAAAACAGCCCCCGCCCCTCCCCCCCCACCCAGCCCACGCCCGCACCCCCCCCCCCCCCCCCGCAGACCCCCGACCCCCCGTCCCGGCTTCCCCTCTCCACATCTTTGCCAAAGTCATTGCGGTGCCGGGAGGGAGCGGGGAATAATTAATTAATCCTTCATCATGAGCCCTTAATAATTAATTACCGGGAGTGCCGGAAAGGGCGGGTGGGGGGGCCTCCCTCGGGGGGGGGAGGAGGTGTGTGACCCCCCCTCGGGACCTCCCCAGGATTGGGGGGCCGGAGGGGCGCTTCGCAGTGCTGAAGGTTCCCCGACGGCGCCGCCTCGAGGGGAGGGGGACTTTGCCAGCCCCCCAGGTGGAACCCATCGCAACGGCGCCCTCCCGCTGGCTCCGGACACGTCCCGGGATCCCGGGGGGACGCTATGGGGTGTGCACGGCATGGGGGGGGGGGGGCAGTGCGGAGGGGGCAGGGGGAGCGCGCTTAGTGCTCAGAACGCGCAATGTGCGCGCAGGTGCAGCGCCCACGCGGCGCGCAGCGCGCAGCTCACGCAGGACGGGCATTGAGCGTATCCAGAGCGCACGGAGCGGTGCGTGCAGCGCGCGGGGTGTGCAACGAGTGTGCAACGAGTGTGCAATGCGTGTGCAACGAGTGTGCAATGCGTGTGCAACGAGTGTGCAATGCGCTCCGTGCGCGCACCGTCCCGCTGCCGCAGCCGCCTCTTTCCCACGGGCCGCCCGCGCCCAAAGGAGGGGGCTGGGGGGGGGCGGAGCAGAACGAGGCGGGGCCGCCCCCCCTCTCCTCCCCTCCCCTCCCCTCTCTCTGCCCCCCCCCCCCCCCGCGGGTGCGGACGTCCCCGCTCCGTTCAGCTCTCCTGGGAGCTCCGCCGCCGCCGCCGCGGGACCGAACGGAACGAACCGGGTCGGGCCGGGCCATGACCCCCCCGTGCGCCGGAGCGCTGCGCTGCGCGGTGCTGTGCGCGGTGCTGTGCGCTCAGGGATCCGCCGCCACCCGCGCAGGTACGGAGCGACCCCACGGGGTGGGGGTTGGGGGGGGGCTGAAAGAGGGGACGGGTCAAAGAAACTTTGGGGACTCGCCTTCCCACTCCTCCCCCCCCCGCTTCGTGCCCAGAGCGCGGCGCCCACCTCTCCCCGATGGCGGCGCTTTGGGCCGCGACCTGCAGGTGCGGGGTGAGAGGGGGGGCACCCAATGGGGCCCCCCCCGAGAACCCACAGGGGGAGCGAAGCGGCTCTGCCCGGCCCCCCGACCCCCCCGCGTGCAGCTCAGCATCAATAATGCACAGCCCTTCTCCCATCCTCCCACCGCTCCGGATCAGCGGCGCGTCGCCGAGCCCCCGGGATGGGGTGATCAGCCCCCGCCTCCCCCCCTCCCCCCCCCCCAGGCTTCGCTGACCCCGTTGTTGCTGATCCCCATGAGAACGGCTCCGGGCCCCGTTGTGGGACGGTGCAAACACCGCTGGGATGTGGGATGGGGGGGGGCACCCGGATCGGGGCCTCACTGCTGGCACCGCCTTCAATTAATGATGAGTGCGTGGGGGGGGAGGGGGGGGAGAGCCGGTGGCAGAACAGTGACTCACATTGGTGGGCAGAGGGGCTCCGGGGGGCAGAGGGGCACTGGGGGGTAGAAGAACACCGAGGGCAGATGGGGTGACCCTGCAGCGACACCCAAAAAGATCCCCGTCCCACAGCTGCGGGCAGTGGGCTGAGCCCTGTGCGCCATGGGGTGGTTTGGGGTGAGGGATGTCCTCCCGATGGGACTCTGCTCCCCACCAGGAGGGGCCACCGGTTCTTCCCACTCGGAGGTGGGGAACGGACCCGGCCCTGACCCCGCTTCTCCCTTTGCTTTGCAGAATGCAGCGAGCTGCTGTCCTGTGAGCTGTGCACCACCGCTCCTCCAGCGCCCAACGGCACCGGCTGCCTCTGGGGGGGCTGTGGGGCACCGGGTGAGCGCTGCACTCCTCCCCCTTCCCGGTGCCATCCATCCTTCAGCTTGGGGTGTGGGGCTCCAGGCCCGCCTGGGTCTCCCGGGACCCCCATGGGAACCCCCTGCCCCATTTCACTGCAGAGATGTGGAGCTGCGTGCGCAGCGGGGCGGCCGTGCGGGACACATGTGTGCTCTACAACAGCAGTGCCCTGTGCCCAGGTAACCCCACAGCCATGGGGCCTCAATGGGGATGGGAGCACGCGTGGCTGTGCCCCCTGCAGCCCTCCTCACTCCTGTCCTCTGCTGTTGTCTCCAGCGGCACTGAAATCCCCCACCAAAGAGCCACCGCGGTCCCCTAGCAAGGAGCCGGCAACGCGTTCCCCACGTGAGTGGGGCTGGGTGGGATAGCATGAAATGGGAGAGGTTGGGATGGGATGGATGGATGGGTTGGGGTAGGATGGGATGGGATGGGGTGGGATGGATGGGATGGGATGGGATGGGATGGGATGGGATGGGATGGGATGGGATGGGATGGATGGGTTGGGATGGGATGGGATGGGATGGGATGGATGGGTTGGGATGGGATGGGATGGGATGGGATGGGATGGGATGGGATGGATGGGATGGGATGGGATGGGATGGGATGGGATGGGATGGGATGGGATGGGATGGGATGGGATGGGATGGGATGGGATGGATGAATTGGAGTGGGATGGGATGGGATGGGATGGGATGGATGAATTGGAGTGGGATGGGATGGGATGGATGGGATGAGATGGGAGGGGAGGGGATGGGATGGGATGGGATGGATGGGATGGGATGGGATGGGATGGGATGGGATGGATGGGATGGGATGGGATGGGATGGGATGGGATGGGATGGGATGGGATGGGATGGGATGGCACGGGATGGGACCACCCACTTCCCTGTACATCCTGTGTCCCCGGGATGAGCTGTGCCACCCTCTCGGGGTCCCATCACTGAGCTCTGAGCCCTGCTGTGCGCACGGTGCCAGCCCTGCCCCAGGCCCACAGCTCTTCACTGCAGCACTGTAGGACGGGCTGGGGGGCCCTGGGGAGCAGCAGCAACTCCTGTGCGGGCAGCAGAGCGGGCGGGGAGCTGGGATGGGGCAGGGAGCGGAGATGGAGCCTCTTCCAGGAAATGGGAACTGGAGAGCTGGGCTAAAAGCGGCCGTAACCGGAGCTGCGGCTCTGAATTATTGATGCCTCGCGCCGCTCCAGCAGCGGAGGGGGCCGAGCCCTTCTCTCCCGCTGGACCCCATCCTTCAGGAGGGGGATCGGTTTAAGGTCCGTCCCCGTAGCCCCACTCTGTCCCGTAGGGAGCAGCACCACGCGTGCCCCGCTGACGGGCAGCCCCGAGTTCCAGCCTCCGGGCTTCGACACGGCCAGCTTTGTGGGCGGCATGGTGCTGGTGCTCAGCGTGCAGGCCGTCCTCTTCTTCATCCTCAAGTTCATCAAGTCCAAGGACAGCAGCTACCAAACGCTGTAAGGCTTCCTTGCTCCTCTGTGGGGTCGCACCGACGCTATGGGGCAGCCCCACCGTCCCTCTGCGTCTCACCGTGGGGCGCTGCGTCCTCCCGTGGCTGTTTGTCCGTCCCCTCCCATGGGGGTGGGGAGGATGTGGGGCTCTGGGGCGCCCTCCCTCGTTGCCACGTGGAGGAAACGGGTGTCCGTCTCGTGTCCGTCTGTCTGTGCGCTGCTGTCCTGCCGCAACCCATAGGGACCGTGCAGCCCCCAGACCCCCCCCCCCGTGGGGGTCCGATGCTCTCCCAGCCCCTCCTCGTGCCCACCGTGGGGCTTCTAACGCGGGGGGGGCCGTGCCCCTCTCTCTTTCCTTGCACGCTGCCAGAGAGGACAACCAGTAGGTGCTGAGCGCTGCCAGAGGATGGGGAGGGGGCTGCCCTGCTGCCCCGCGGCTGCCCCTGGGGAAGGGGCTCATTCCCCCCTTCCTGCTTTGCGCGGCGGGGGGGTTCTCTGCTGTTTGCTGTTTGTCCCCGGGGCTGTGAGGTGACCCCACATCCCCATCCCTTCTGCTGCGTCCCCAAGAAGGTGGCGGGCAGCCCCCGTCCCATTGAGCCCCTCGCTGGGGTGGGGGCTTCCCCCCCAGGAATTGCTCTCTAATAGGGCACCCAGCAGCGTGCATCCCCCTCCCCATCCCCCTGTGCGCCGTGTGGGGGTCCCCTTTTTGTTCAGCATCCCGGTGCCATCGCATCCTGCAGGGTCCCAGCCCCGCATGCTGTCCCCTCCCATCCCTGAGCCCTCCAGCCCTGAGCCCCCGCTCTCCCCAATATCCCCCCCCCCTCCCTGCAGGAGCAGAGCCGGGACCTTGCTGTGTGCTTTTGTTGTGCCTCTGTGTTCCTGGGTGTGTCGGGGGGGGGGACACGATGGAGATGGAGATCCCCGTGTGTCCCTCCTCCCTCCCCCCGTGTGCTGTTTTGGGGAGGGGGCTGCGTGCTGTGTGCTGTGGGGTGAGGTTTGTCGCTCCCGCTGCCCCCATTAAACTCTGCCGGGTGGTGTCCGTGTGTCGCCCCATCGTGTCCCGGGGGGGGGGGCATAGAGGTGGGGGGGAGGGGGAGGAGATAAGCCTGCAGAGCCCCCGTGCCCCCCATCCCTTCCTTGCAACAGCTCCCATTCCCCCCCTCATCCCGAATGTGGGACCCCCCCCTCCCACGGGTGGGGGCAGTAGGGTGGGTGCTGTGCCCCCCCCCCCCCCCCCGGGCCCTTCCTGCTATGTGCTTTTCTCCATCCACTGCTGCAGGATCTGAGCTCCGGGCGATGCTGCCCTCGCCTCCCCCCCCCCCCCTCCCGGGGAGGTGGAGAAGAGACCACCGCTGTGTCTCCATCCCATGCTGGGACCACCCCAAAGCCGTGGGACCCCCCCACCTGCACCACAACTATGCAAAGCTGGCTCTGCTCGGGGGGGGGGGAAGGGGGGGCTGCACCTGGGGGCGAGGGGAGGGGGCTGGGCTGTGTGTCAGCAAGTCACCCAGCAGGGCATGGGATGCTGCTGGGGGGTTTCCAATGCTCCTCGATGGCGTGGGGGGGCTCATCCAGCCCAGCTTTGCCCCCACCCCCAGCCCCAACCCCACACCCCCACACCATGCTTGCCAGGAGGAAGATGTGGGGGTAGGAGGATGGGGGCTGTTTGCCCCCCAACCCAGGGCTGGCACAGTGGGGGCAGAGACCCAATAAAGGACTTTCCTCCCATGCCTGGTGTCTGTGTCGTGGTTACCCCCCTCCTCGTGTCCCCTCTCCCCATTAATTGACCCCGGGGGGGGGGGGTGGGAAGGGGGGGATGGGGACACTATGGGGGTGCATTGATGGGGAAAGGATGGAGACACGATGGGGACATGATGGAGACTCACATCATGGGGACACGGAGGGGACGTTTTGGGGATGCGAGGGGGACGCAGTGGCGTCTATGGGATTCTATGGGGTTGTGCTGATGAGGACGTGATGGGGACACCACAGAGTCACAATGGGATGCAATGAGGACATGGCTGGCACACAGGGCACTGCCCGCCCCCTTCCCCAGGAAAACCACAGCTTCTCCTCCCCCCACCCATGCGTGCCGTGCAGCAGCAGCAGCTCAGGGGGAAGGAACTCAGTGTGGCCCCACAGCTTCCCCTTTCCTCAGCACCTCTTTTGCAACTGGTGCCACCAGGATGGGAGCAGCACCCGGTGCTGGGGGTCTCATCCCATTGGGTCCTATAGGGTTCCATCCCATCAGGTTCTATAGGGTTATGTCCTGTCCCACCAGGTCCTATAGGTCCCATCCTACTGGGGCCTTTAAGGTTCCATCTCGTCCTGTCAGGTCCCACTGCATCCTACAGGGTTCTGTCTTGTCCCATCAGGTCCTGTAGAGGCTCATCCCATTCCACTGGGTCTAATAGGGTTTTATCTCATCCCACTGGTTCCTACTAGATCCTGGCCTATCCCATTGGGTCCTGTAGGGTCCCATCCCATCCCACTGGTCCTACAGTGTTCCATCCTATAGGCCCTGCCCCATTGGTCCTATAAGGTCCCGCCTCATCCCACCAGGTCCTGTAGGGTTCTATCCCATCCCATCAGGTCCTATAGGGTCCCATTCCATCCCACCGGGTCCTTTAGGGTCCCATCTCATCAGGTCCTACAGGGTTCTGTCCTGTCCCATTGGGTCCAATTGATCCCATCCCATCCCATTGGGTTCTATAGGGTCCTGCCCCATCAGGTCCTGTAGGGTTCTGTCCTGTCGGGTCTTACAGGTCCTGTCCCAACCCATTGGGTCCTAGGAGGTCACATCCCATCCCACTGGGTCCTATAGGTCCTGTCTCATTTGGTCCCATCAAGTCCTATGGGATCCCATCCCGTCAGGTCCTACAGGTTTCCATCCCATCCCATTGGGTCCTGCTGGGTTCTGTCCCGTCCCATCAGGTCCTGCAGGGTTCCATCCTATTCCATCAGATTCTATACAGTCCCACACCATCACGCTGGGTCCTAAAGGACCATCAGGTCCCACGGGTCCCATCCCACCGGCTCCTATAGGCTTCCATCCCATCCATCGGCTCCTATAGGGTTCTGCCCACCCCGTCGGATCCCATAGGTCCCATCCCGTCCCCACGCGGCCGCGCTGAGTCACACCGGGACAGGCGGAAGCGGTGCTGGTGCCCGGGGCGGGACGGGGCGGAGCTGGGAGGGGGGAACCGAACCCAAAGAGCAGAGCCGGCACGGAGCGGGGCCGGTTCGGAGTGGGGAGCGGGGCAGCGCGGGGAGCGGGATCGGCTGTGCGGGGCGGGGAGCGGGGCTGCGCTGATGCGGGGAGCGGGGCTCTGTGGGTGCGCGGTGCGGGCTTTTCCTGGTGCCGGATTTGGGACTTTCTGAGTGCGGGGTTTGAGTTCTCCCCGTGCGGGCTTGGAGCTGCCCTGGTGCGGGATTTGGGGCTGTGCCGGTGTTCGGGTTCTCCTGGTGTACAGCTGGAGTTCTCCCAGCGCAGTTTTTGCCTTCTCCTGATAAAGATTTGGAGCCTTCCTAGCGCTGGGCTTGGTGCACGGTTCGAGTTCTCCCCGTGCAGGATTTGGGCTCTCCTGGTGTGGGGTTGAGGCTTTCTCGCTGCTGGGTTTGGTGCTTTCTCAGCGCGGCTCTGGGGTTCTCTTGGAGCAGGATCCAGAGCCCCGTGGTGCGGGGTTTGGAGCTCTCCCGGTGCAGGATTTGGGGCTCTCCCGGTGCGAGGTTCGGCCTTTCCTCATTGCAGGGTTCGGCGCTTTCTCACCGCGCCCTTGGGCTTCTCTCGGTGCAGATTCGGCGCTCTCCCTGCGCGCAGATCTCGGTGCTCCGCATCACCCCGACTCCTCACATCCCATGGCAGCCCCTGGAGCCGGCAGCTGCTGGCAGGATCCTCTGGCGGTGGAGGGCACGACGTGCCGCCCGGTGTGCGGGACGCGGTGCAGGCGGGCGCTGAGCGCGGTGTTCGTGCCGAGCTGCCGGTCGGCTCCGTGCCCGGCGCTGCGCTCCCTGCGGGCCGCCTGCCGCCAGCTGCGGGGCCGGCTGCGCACCGTGCCGTTCGGCCGCCTGGCGCTGGGGGAAACCGCAGCCCTGGATCTCTTCTATAACGCAGGTGAGGAGGAGAAAACTCCCCGCCCGGTGGCTGCCGCTCGGGGCGGTGCTTGGTGCCGTCCTGCTGAGGACGGGCTGAGGGAGCTGGGCTTGTTCAGCATGGAGAACAGAAGGCTGTGGGTGACCTCAGTGCAGCCTGCAGTACCTGAAGGGAGCCTAAAACAGGAGGGGAATCAACTCTTGGAAAGGGGGATAACGGCAGGACAAGGGGAAATGGTTTGAATTGAGGGAGGGAAGATTGAGGTTGGATGTCAGGGGGAAGTTCTGTGCTATGAGAGCGGTGAGGTGCTGGAACAGCTGCCCAGAGAGGCTGTGATGCCCCGTCCATCCCTGGAGGTGTTCAAGGCCAGATTGGATGGGGCCCTGGGCAGCCTGGGCTGCTGTGAAATGTGGAGGTTGGTGGCCCTGCGTGTGGCAGGGGGTTGGAGCTTCATCATCCTCGAGGTCCCTTCCAACCCTGCCCATTCTGTGATGCTGTTCTGCCCGGCAGATGTGGCCGTGGTGGAGCTCAGTGATGCCGCCTGCCAGCCCTCGCTCTTCTACCACCTGGGGGTCCGGGAGAGTTTCGATATGTCCCACAACGTGCTGCTCTGCTGCCGCTCTGTGCTGCCTGCCCTGCAGGCCCTGCAGGTGAGCGGGGACCAGTGAGCAAATACCTGGGTGGGGGCTCGGGGGGGGTGGGCGTCTCAGTGCTGTCGCCATCCATCCCCACCCTGAGCTCGCGTGGGTTCCCATGGTTGCCCCCCATCAGGTGCCCAAAGGGGATGAGGAGGGGGTGATGCCTGTGTGTCCCAGAGCCCGAATCCAGGAAAATTCAGCTTGCTATCCTGGGAAACACCAAACCAATGGGAGCAGCGGGAGGGGAGCGCATCTAAATTGTCCCCAAACGTCACTGTGACACGAGGGAGCACAAGGGCACCCGTTCAGAGCCCCTTTTTCACAGGGGGGGGTGGCAGGGCCGTCTGTGGCCCTGCCTGGGGTTGGGGCCATCTCCGGGTGACTTTGACCCCGGATCCTGAGATCAGCTGATTTCTTTTGTGCCAGAACTCCTCACTAAGTCCCTCCTCCCTCCCTCCCTCCCTCTCCAGGAGGACATCTGCCAGAAGAACTCGGTACGGTTCTCCGCTGCTCTCACAGCTGCCATAATGCTGGGGGGGGGGAGGTTGAGCTCCCCCAGCTTCGGAGGAGTGGGCAGCGCATGTGGGGAGCGAGACCCCCACCCCCAGATGCTGAGTTACGGGGAGGGGTGGCTCAGAGCAGCACCAGGAAGCACAAGGATGGTTTGGGAGCAACCCCAGAAAACCAACGGGGCCGTTCACTCTGGAGCATAACGATGGCAGTGGGGCCCAAAACCCGAATTATGGGGGGTGGGGGGTGAACAGGGACGGCGCTGCCACTCAGCCCTGTCTCCCCCCACCCCATCCAGGACCTGTGTGGCAGTTACACCTTCATCCCCTACACAGTGACGGCCCACGGAGAGGTGCTGTGCTGTGACAGCAGCGCTGAGCAGTGCCCCGCTGAGCTCCCCCAGCCCGGCTGCGGCACGGAGCCCTGCACCCCGCTGACAGCACGGCTCGTCCGGCTGCTGGAGGCCATCCCCACCAACTCCTGGTACCAGCAGCCACCCTTGTGTGCACTCAGAGCAGGGCAGGCAGCCACGTGCCATAGCACCGCTCAGCCCCACATCTCCGCCCCCCAACAGCGGGTATTTTCGGGAGAGCCTCCGACGTGACATCCGCCGGGTGCGGGAGCTGTTCCGGGGCGAGCAGCTGAGCCGTGAGCTGAGGAGCATCCAGCAGCGCCTGGACAGCGTGGAGCTGCTCAGCCTGGACATCGTGGTCAGCCTGCTGCTGTCCTACCGCGATGCGCAGGTGGGCGCCGCGCCGCCATCCCCGCTCCTCGTCAGCCCCCGTCGGCCCCACAGCCCCCAAACCGTGGATGAACCGAGGGAGGTTCACCCTGGCTCAGCCTTTGGAGGCGTCCCCGCAGGATTACGACTCTATCATCTCTCTGGTGGACGCCCTGCACTCCCTGCCTACCTGCGACGTGGCCGAGCAGCCCAACGTTCGCTTCCATTACGCCTTTGCCCTCAGTCGGTGAGTGGTGGTCCGGCGTCCCCTCAGGGCAGGGGGCCGTGGCCCTGTTGCTGAGCGCCGTACGCAGGAGGAACCGTGCTGGAGACCGCGAGAAGGCTCTGTCAGTGCTGCTGCCTGCCGTGCAGCACCGGGACACGGCGGCACCCGACCTGCTCTGCCTCTGCGGCCGCATCTACAAAGACATGTTCATCAGCTCTGGCCTCACTGACACGGAGACGCGGGACCGAGCGCTGTACTGGTGAGGCTGGGATGGAGCTGGGGATGCAGCCATGGCCGGGACCCCGTGGGGTGTGCGTAGGTTCCCATTCAGATCCCCCAAGAAGCCAGCTCCTGCAGGGCCTCGGCTCTCCCTCCCCTTGCACAGTGAGTGGAAGCTCTTAGAGGTCTTTTCCAACCCTCACTGCTCTGTCGTTCTATCTCGGGAGCCCCACGTCACACGGAAGGGTTTGCCTGGGAGGCAGGAGATGCTGTCCCCGTGGCCCCGTTGGGATGATGCCTTCTGCTCAGGTACAGCAAAGCCTTCGAGCTGGAGCCCAGCCTCCACGCGGGCATCAACGCTGCCGTCCTCCTCGTCGCCTCCGGCCATCGCTTCGACACCTCGCTGCGGCTGCAGCAGATCGGTGCGCCCCGTCCTGCACTGGGACCCCGCAGGGGGCTGCTGCCGTCGGTGGCTGAGCCCTGATGGGTCGCAATCCCACATCCAGGAGTGAAGCTGAGCTGCCTGCAGGGCCGTAAGGGCAGCCTGGAGGAGCTGCGGCACTACTGGGACGTGGGCTTCTGCCTGGGGGCCGGAATCTTGGCCAACGACCTGGGCAAAGTCATCCAGGCCTCTGAGAATCTCTACAAGCTCAACGCACCGGGATGGTGAGCGCCGGCTGTGCACAGCCACCCACAGCCACCCTCTGCAGTCTGTATGCACTGTGGGACGTCCCCACCTGCAATGCCTGCCATGCAGGTACCTGGTGTCCTTCATGGAGACGTTCCTGCTCTACAAACACTTCCAGCAGAGCCCAGCGCTGCCATCCGCCCGGCAGGAGCTGGCTGACTTCTGGCTGGGCTTCCTGCTCACCTCCTGCCAGCCCTTCGTGCCTGAGCCGCGCTGCCCAGTGGGGAGCAGCCCTGGGGACCCGGGGACAGATGGGGGGACACGGGGTGACCACGTGTGGTGGCTGCAGGTCCTCGTCCTGGAGCACGGCAAGGTGCTGCAGCCGGCACGGCTGGCGCTGCGCAGTGCGGCGGAGGAGCCCGCTGTGATGCTCAGCCTCGTGTGCCCCACAGAGGAGGTAGGGCCGGGTCTGGGGTCCTGGGGGTGTCCCCTGGCTGTCTCCCACCCAGCCCTTCTCCTCCTTCCTGCAGAAAGCAGTGTCGAGCTGGAAGTTCCCACCCGCAGCCATCCGGGGCGTCAGGTGAGAGTGTCCCCAATTCCCTCTGCCCTGGGGGCTGCACCCCAGCCCCACTGCTCATGGGGGGGTGGTGGGGGGCTCTTTTCCTCACAGCATCTGCAAGAGCGACGAGCGGGGCTGCTTTCTCTACGTGGCTCACACTGAGCACTTCCAGCTGTACTTCCCCTCCCAGCAGCACTGCCAGTGGTGAGCAATGGGGACCCCACGTTGCTTCTGGGGAGGACCCCCAAACACCCCCCGTGGGAGCAGCAGATCGCGTCCTAGGGAGGAAAGGGGACAAACCAAAGGGGCTTCAGCCCTTGTGCCGGTGGGGGGGGGGGGGGTGGGAGGTGTCACTGGGACTCAGCACCATCCCCTCTCCTCGCACAGGTTCTGTGAGCGGGTCCAATCCTTCCTGGCGGAGCAGGGCGGTGAGGAGCTGCTCGGCAGCACGCAGCCCATCCTGGAGGTGAGGGGAGCACAGCGGGTGGCGGGGGGGGCGCCAGGCGTTCCTGCTGCCACCCCACGTGCCCCCCTGCAGTACAGCTATGAGTGCACCGAGTCGGGTGAGCGCGTGGTCCTGGGCAGGGGCACTTATGGGGTCGTCTACGCCGGGCGCTGCCTCGGCACCCAAGTGAGGATCGCCATCAAGGAGATCCCAGAGCGGGACAGCCGGTGGGTCCAACGGTGCCGGGGTGGGGGGGGGTGGGGGTCTCTGTGCAGCCCATCACTCTGCTGCCCACCATGCAGCTGCTCGCAGCCCTTGCACGAGGAGCTGGCCTTGCACAAGCGCCTGCGGCACAGGAACATCGTGCGGTACCTGGGCTCCGTCAGCCAGGATGGCTTCATCAAGATCTTCATGGAGGAGGTGCCGGGAGGTGGGCAGCGCTGCGAGGCTGGGGGTGGGGGGAGTCGGGGACCCATAGGGTGAATGTGGGTGCCGCCCCCTCCCCAGGGAGCCTCTCGTCCCTGCTGCGCTCCAAGTGGGGTCCCCTGAAGGACAACGAGCCCACCATCGTCTTCTACACCCGCCAGATCCTCAACGGGCTCAGTTACCTCCACGACAACCACATCGTGCACCGGGACATCAAGGTGGGGGGTGGGGGGCTGCCCTCCGTGCCCAGCCCCGCTTGGGGGATGCACAGCTCGAGGCTGCGGGGCTTTGTTATGGGGTTGCAGGGTGACAACGTCCTCATCAACACATACAGCGGCGTGCTGAAGATCTCCGACTTCGGCACCTCCAAGCGGCTGGCGGGCATCAGCCCCAGTGCTGGCAGCTTCACGGGTAGGGGCAGCCTTGGAGGGGGGGGGAGAGGGGCTATGGGGCACCTGGGTGACGAACAGGGGCTTCGCTCCTCCCACCACCTCCCCCAGGCACCCTGCAGTACATGGCCCCCGAAATCATCGACCGAGGGCCGTGGGGCTACGGGAAGCCGGCAGATATCTGGTCGTTGGGCTGCACCGTCATCGAGATGGCCACGGGCAGACCGCCCTTCTACGAGCTGGGCAGCCCCCAGGCGGCCATGTTCAAGGTACCCACAAGCTGGGGGGGTTGGGGGGGGGGTCCCTGAAATGCCTTCCCTCGTGTGGCCGTCCCTGTGCAGCCCGTCCTGCAGGTGGGCATGTTCAAGGCACACCCGGAGGTGCCCGGCTCCATGTCGGACGAGGCCAAGGCTTTCATCCTGCGCTGCTTCGAGGCTGACCCGGCCGTGAGGGCGACGGCATCCGCGCTGCTGCAGGACCCGTTCCTGGCTGGTGCCAGGCGTCCCCGCAGCCAGAGGGCGCCCACAGCGAGAGGTGAGCCGGGGGGGCTGGGGGGTCCCAGCACGGCTGCCCTCTGACCTTCCCCCCCCTCCATCCTCCCCCTGGCAGGCGGTTCACCTCGCGATGGGGACGCGGTGGGGACTGGCAGCGCTGAGGGACGTCCAGCCTTTGGGGACGGGGTGGGGGGCACCGCGGGCAGCACCCCGCTCCCACAGCGCCACGGCGAGGCAGCGCCGGGTCACAGGTATGTGGGGTGGTGGCATCCCAGGGTCCCAAAGGGTTGGATTTTGGTCTCCCGCTTTTGGGTGGCCCTCAGAGGCCCCCGCACAGCGCTGGTGGCACAGCTGTCCCTTGTTACAGACTGCGGGGCCACGAAATGCTGCTGGGTCACTGATGTGGGGCTCAACACCCCCCGTAGCCCCATAACCCCGTAACAGCTCCAGTGCTTTTGGGAAGGCTGAGCTGGTGTGGCTCCCATCACTTTCAGTCCTTCCCTCGTCCCCTCCTGTGTTGGAAATGGCTTGGGTGGCTTCCCAGGGTATCAGCAGGGCTCCACGATGCCACGTGTGCCCTGGGCAGCCCCGACCCACCGTGCCCCACGCTGCCCCACAGCAGCACCGGCTCCGACCTCACCCTGCGCTCATCCTCACCCGAGGAGAGCGGGGACAGCTTCGTGCTGCAGAAGGACATCCAGCACCGCGCCACCCTGCTGTGCATCCTGAGAGCCGAGGCGCCGGGCATCACTGCTGCCCTGCAGGAGAGCCAGGTGGGGTGCGGGGCCGGCGGCAGGCAGTGAGGGTGGGATGGAGCCCATCTCAGGGCTTTTCTCGCCCGTGCAGAGCGCGGTGGGACCAAGGCTGAGCTCGGAGCACATCGCCCAGCTGCTGAGCTGCCTGCAGAGCTACATCCAGAGCCCCCAGCAGCCCCGGCTGCGCCGCGACCTCCTGCAGCTGCAGGCAAGGCTGAGGGAGGATGGGATCGGTGTGCAGCGACTGCAGGCACCGCTGCTCCACTTCCAGGCTGTGGTGAGAGCCTGGGATACGGCGTGGGGATGGGGCTGCTCCTGCAAGGCGCTGCTCCGGCATGCTGACACTGTTGCTCCAGCACAGTGTTGCACAGCGCCATTCTGGCACGGCGTTGCACGAACACGTTGATGCTACAGAACTGCGCCACCGGCACGGTGCTGCTCTGGCACAGTGCTGTTCTACACGGTGCTGCTCTGGCACAGTGCTGTTCCTACACGGTGCTGCTCTGGCACGGTGTTTCTTGCCCATGGTGACACTGCAGCCCATCCATCCCCCCCCCAGGTGACGCGGGTGCTGCGCCAGCACCACATCAGGCCTCACTGGGTGTTTGCTCTGGACTCAGCCATCAGCCAGGCAGTGCAGGCAGCTCTGGCCGTGCTGCTGACAGGTGGGTGACACCGGCGGATGGCCGGGACGCGGCTTGAGCCCCCAGGGATGGCTGTGGGATGGGCTGCGCCCCACGCTTTGCTCCCTGCGCCCCACAGAGCTGCAGGAGGAGGACTCCGAGGCCGATGGCCCCACAGAGAGCAGCGCCAGCCAGCAATGCTCGGTGCTGCTGGCACAGCTCCGCCGCCTCCGCGCACAGACGGGCAGGTGGGGCCGGGCATCCGTGGGGCACAGGGATGGGGCGGCACCGTGTGCCCCCCAATGCCAGCCCCCATCCCTGCTGCCCTCCAGGCTGCTCCGACAGCTGGCCGACAAGGAGCAGGAGTGGCAGCGGTTGGCACAGCGGGCGCTTTGCTCGGTGGACATCACACAGCCCGACCTCCCCCCGCACCGCGGTGAGCAGGGACACAGCGGGGGGGACACCGCAGCTTCATGCCCCGGGCGCAGCGGCGGGGCCCGGGCTGATCCGCTGCTCCTGGAGTGGCTGCAGCAGCACGGCACGGACCCAAGCGCCACAGCCGCGGTGAGACCCACGGCCACGCGGAGCCCCTCGGGGCTGCACCCCGCCGATGCCGTGGGGCTGCGCCACCTCACCGCCACCTCACCGCCACCTCCCGCAGCTCCTGACGCACGGCTTCACCCTGCGGGACCTGCTGGGCAGCGCCACCCGCGACGACCTCTTCTACACCGGGATGAGGTGCCCGCCGGGCTCGGGGGGCTGGGACGCGGGGCGACACATGGCCGTGCCCCCCCTCCAGCCCCATATCCGCTCCTCAACAGGCGCGGCTCTGCGTACCGCCTGTGGGCAGCCATCGTGCGGCACCGCGAGGATCAGCGGCACGGAGGGACGCCAGCGGCGGAGCAATAAACGGCATCCGGGGGAGAGCGCGCCGTGCTTCATTGCGGCCCAAGGCGCCCCGTGTGCGCGGGGCACAGCGCGACCCCCCCCCCCCCATCCCCATGCGCTCACGGTGCGCTGCGCGGCACCAGGTCGGTGCGCAGCGGTAGCAGCGCTTCCACCCAGCGCCCGGAATCCCGCAGCACTCGGCCCCACAGCGCCCGCTCCTCCGCCGTCGAGTCCATCCAGCCCACGGGCAGCCCGTAGCTGCTCCCTGCGGGGGGAGGAGACCCCGCTCGGTTACGGGGCCGCGAAGGGGGCTGCAGAGGCCCCCCGGTGCCCACAGAACCGGTGCCCACCGAATGGTCGGGGGCTGGGGGTGCGGGAGGATCCATGTCTGCCCTTACGCCCCCCAGAGGCCCCGTAACTCCCCACAGATCCCCTCAGGGCCCCACAGAACCCCCCAGGATCCCAACAGACACCAATAGAGTCCCGTATTTCCCCTGCAGAACCCCCATAGAACTCCCCATAGACCCTAACAGACACCCACAGAGCCCCATATCTCCCCCCCAGACTCCTCACAGACCCCCATAACTCCCCATAGACCTCCTCAGGCCCCTATAGAACCCTCTGGGACCCAAATAAACACCCACAGAGCCCCATATCTCTCCATATTTCCCCCCAGACTCCTCATAGTCCCCTATAACTCCCCATAGATCCACCCACGACCCCATAGAACCACATAGAACCCCAACAGACCCATAGGGTCCCATATCTCCCTACATTTCCTTCCAGAAACCCCACAGGCCCCTATAACTCTCCACAGGCCCCCCTCTGGACCCCATAGAACCCCCTAGGACCCAAATAAACACCCATAGAGCCCCAAATCTCTCCGTATTTCCCCTCTGAAACTCCATATCCCCCCTATATTCCTCTCCAGAACCCCCACAGAACCCCCCCATAGCCACCCAATCTCCCCCCAGACTCCTCATAGACCCCCATAACTCCCCATAGACCACCTTCAAGGCCTCATAGAACCCCCCAGGACCCTAACAGACACCCACAGAGCCCCATATCTCCCCCTCAGACTCCTCATAGACCCCCTCAGGACCTCACAGAGCCACCAGGACCCTAATAGACACCCACAGAGCCCAACATCTCCCCCCCCAGACTCCTCATAGACCCCCATAACTCCCCATAAACACCCCTCAGGGCCTCATTGAACCCCCCAGGACCCTAACAGACACCCACAGAGCCCAACATCTCCCCTCCAGACTCCTCCTAGACCCCCATAGCTCCCCATAGACGCCCCTCAGGACCTCACAGAACCCCCCAGCTCTCCATCCCCCCTCACCCGTGCCCAGGCTGAGCCGCAGCCCCCCCAGCTGCCTCTTGGCGAAGGCATCCCTGTGCCATAGGGTGCACTCAGCGCAGGCCTGGGCCAGGTCGTGGGGCTGGAAGCCATCGTACACCATGGTGTGGTTGAAGATGGGGCTGAGGCTGCGTTTCACCACCCGCGTCTTCTGCCGGCCGGCCTTGCTGTCATCAGGCAGCACAGAGCTAGGAGGGGGTCAGCAATGAGGGGGGGGGGGCTGGGAGGGGGCTGAACCCCCATGCTGTGCCCCCCCAGCCCTCCTTGCGCTGCCACGCAGCCCTCACCACTGCACGAAGGCATCCACAGTGCTGCCATGCAGCGGGACCAAGTCCTGTGCTGCCTTAATCCAGATGTGCAGCTCACCTGTAGGTGGTTGCCCCAAATCTGTGGGGTGGGGATCCGGGTCAGGGCCTGTTGGGGGTGCACTGCCCCATCCCCACAGCCCCCACTCACCTTCAGAGCCGGCGGGGATGAATTTGAGTGCCAGGTTGAGGTGACCTCGGTTGGGGAGGCTGTCTGGGGGTATGGGGGTCTGCGGTGGGAGGGGGAGAGGGGTTATGGGGCTGCGGGCAGGGAACGGGGGTGTGGGGTGGGGAGGATGAGGGAGGGAGCAGGGTTATGGGGAGCTATGGGGTGGGGAGGGAGCAGGGCTGTATGGGGGTATGGGATGAGGAGGGTCAGGGAGTTTGCAGGGTTATGGGGGTGGGGGGCAGGGCTATGGGGGCTATGGGGTGGGGAGAGAACAGGGCTATGGGGGGCTATGGGGTGCAGGGGAGGCAGGGGTATGAGGCAAGGAGGGTCAGGGGAGGGAGAAGAGATGGAGAGCTATGGGTGGGGAGGGAGGGGGGTTATGGGGGGCTATGGGGTGGGGAGGGTCAAGGAGAGGGCAGGGTTGTGGGGAGCTATGGGGGGCAGGGAGCAGGATTATATGGGGATATGGGGGTGGTCAGAAAGGGAGCAGGGTTTTAGGGGTGTGGGGGCTGTGGGATGGGGAGGGAACAGGGTTATATGGGTGTATGGGGTGGGGAGGTTGAGGAAAGGGGTGGGGTTATGGGGATTTGGGGCAGGGGTATTGGGGGCTGTGGGGAGGGGGCAGGGTTATGGGGAGTTATGGGGTGCAGAGGGGGCATGGTTACAGGGTAGGGAGAATGAGGGAGGGAGCAGAGTTATGGGAGGTGTGGGGCAGGGAGCAGGGCTATGGGGTGCGGAGGGAGCAGGATTACATGGGGGTATGGGGTGGGGAGGGGGCAGAGCGATAGGGTGGAGGGGGTCAAGGAGGGAGCGGGGTTATGGGGTGGGGAGGGGGCAGGGCTATGGGGCGAGGAGGGACAGGGGAGGGAGAAGAGATATGGGGAGCTATGGGGTGGGAAGGGAGTGGGCCTATGGGGAGCTGTGGGGTGGGAAGGGAGCAGGGCTATGGGGAGCTGTGGGGTGGGGAGGGAGCGGGGCTATGGGGAGCTGTGGGGTGGGAAGGGGGAGGGGCTATGGGGAGCTGTGGGGTGGGCAGGGAGCGGGGCTATGGGGAGCTGTGGGGTGGGAAGGGGGCAGGGCTATGGGGAGCTGTGGGGTGGGAAGGGGGCAGGGCTATGGGGAGCTGTGGGGTGGGGAGGGAGCGGGGCTATGGGGAGCTGTGGGGTGGGAAGGGGGCGGGGCTATGGGGAGCTGTGGGGTGGGAAGGGGGCGGGGCTATGGGGAGCTGTGGGGTGGGCAGGGAGCGGGGCTATGGGGAGCTGTGGGGTGGGGAGGGAGCAGGGCTATGGGGAGCTGTGGGGTGGGAAGGGGGCGGGGCTATGGGGAGCTGTGGGGTGGGGAGGGAGCAGGGCTCTGGGGCTGCGCGCGGGACTCACGCGGGGCTGCAGGTCGAACCACTCGGGCTGCGTGTTGGCCCAGTCCCACTCTCCCAGCCGGACCTCCACCTCTCCCAGGAAGAGGTTCCGACCCAACGCGTCGTGGTGCCACACCGACACGTTCAGCGTCCGGCCCCGCAGCTCCGCCTTGCGCACGTTGTACTGCGGGGGGGGGGGGGAGGAAAGAAACGGTGCGACCGGGTTGGGGGGGGGGGGAGGAGGGGGGCACAGCGGGACCCCCCGACCCCAAACGCACCTTCAGGGTCTCGTTAAAGACGGGGTCCAAACTCCGCTTCCGAACCGAGGTCTTGCGCTTGCTGCGGTTGGATTTATCGGGCAGCAGGTAGGTCTTGATGTACCTGCGGGCGGCGGGGATGCGGTTGGTGGGGCTGGGGGCCGCGGGGCACGCAGAGGGTCGCGGTGCCTCCCCCCCCCCCCCCCCCGGTGTCCCACTCACGGGTCGGAGCGCTGCCTCTTGGCCTCGGCCAAATGCCGGCACCGCACCACGTGCACCCGCAGCTCCTGAGCGGCCGCTTCGTAACGCAGTGAGAACTGAACGCAGCCCCGCACCGGCACCCGGCGCAGCTCCCAGTCGCTGTAGAGGCTCAGCAGGCTGCCGCTCAGCTGCGGGGGGACGAAGGGGGGATCGGCGACGGGGGTCTGGAGCGCCGGCAACCGCACGGACCCGCACCCAAAACGCGACGCACCGTGGAGGAGTTGAGGCTGGAGATGGAGGAGCTGCTGCTGAGCGCGGCGCCCGGAGGAGCGCGGCTGTCCGCAGGGGATGTCCGTCCGTCCGGGGGGCGCTCCGTGCTCTGCGGGGGAAAAGGAGAGGGGGCGGCCTGGGGCGGGCGGGGGGAGCATCCATAGGGCTGCAGCCACGGTGTGGGGCCCCAGGGAACGCTGCTCCGTGAGCAGCTTGGGCACGCTGCCCCACACTGCCCCATACTGCCCCATACAGACCCCACGCTGCCCCACACTGACCCATACAGCCCCACACAGACCCCACACTGCCCCATACAGCCCCATACAGACCCCACACTGCCCCATACAGCCCCATACGGACCCCAAACTGCCCCATACAGCCCCATACGGACCCCACACAGCCCCACTCAGCCCCACACTGTCCCATACAGCCCCCACTCAGCCCCACACAGCCCCACTCAGCCCCACACGGACCTCACAACCCCACACCACTCCACTCAGCCCCCCTACAGCCCCATTCAAGCCCATACAGACCCCACAAACCTACTTCCATCCCACTCAGCCCCACACTGCCCCATACAGACCCCACAGCCCCACACAGCCCAATACTGACCACACAACCCCACAACACCCCACTCAGCCCCACTTAACCCCATACAGACCCATACCAGACCCCACAGCCTCACACTGCCCCACACCAACCTACTCAGCCCCACTCAGCCCCATACAAGCCCCACAACCCCACACTACCCCACTCAGCCCCCCACAGCCCCATACAGCCCCACTCAACCCCATACAGTCCCCACAACCCCACACAACCACACACATCCCCCCACAGCCCCCCATCCCACCTGTACAACACCAGGACTGCTGTGTGCAGGGCTGGGCTCCTCCTCCTCCTCCTCCACACTGGAGGTGCCAAAGGGGCTCCCATCCGTTCTGTCACCTGCGAGGGCACCATGTGGGTGGGGGTCCCAACACAGCAAGGAATGGATATAGGAAGAGGGAAGTCCCCTTTTTCCCTGAATCCCCATCGATTTTCCCTGCAGCCCCACATCACCTGGCTGTCTGCAGCCGTCCCGTCCCCCTGCTGGGACATCACCCTGCTGCAGAGATGGTGACACCGTGGTCCCTTCCTGGGCAGTGGCTTTGGGCTGTGGGTGGCACAGGGCTGAGCCCAGCAGCACAGCGCTGCGTGCCAGCACAGCACCCACCTGAGGCTCTGTGGCTGCCAGGGCTCCATCCTCACTGGGGCTGCGAGGAGAAGCGGTCAGCAGATCTTGGTGCTGCCCTGGAGCAGCACTGGGCTGCAGCCCCCTGCCTGCCCTCACCTCACCTCTCCTCCCGCACTGCCTCCTCATCCTCCTTCTCCTCCAGCACTTTCTCCCTGATGGCCTCCAGCTCACACTGGCTGAGCCTGCGCTCCAGCTCTGCTGCTCCTGGGGACAGCGGGGACCTCAGCGGGCTGACACCGTGCAGCCACCCACCCATCCACCCATCTGCTTGCCCACCATCCATCCGTCCCTTCACCCATCCATCCATCAATCCCCCATCCATGCCTCCATCCCTCCATTTCCACACTCATCCGTCCATCTCCCATTCCATCCTTCCACCCATCCCTCCATCCCTCCCTCGATTCATCCCTCCATCCATCCATCCATCCATCCATCCATCCATCCATCCATCCATCCATCCATCCATCCATCCATCCCTCCCTCCATCCATCCATCCATCCATCCATCCATCCATCCATCCATCCATCCATCCCTCCATCCCTCCATCCCTCCATCCCTCCATCCCTCCATCCCTCCATCCCTCCATCCATCCATCCATCCATCCATCCATCCATCCATCCATCCATCCATCCATCCCTCCATCCCTCCATCCATCCCTCCATCCCTCCATCCATCCCTCCATCCCTCCATCCATCCCTCCATCCATCCATCCATCCATCCATCCATCCATCCATCCATCCCTCCCTCCATCCATCCCTCCCTCCCTCCCTCCCTCCATCCATCCATCCCCCATTCCCTCCCTCCCCCCCCCCCCCTCCATACCCCACGGCCGCCTCCTGCGCCGGATGGACACACGGACCAGGTCGGATCCCAGCAGGTTGGGGTGGCGCTGGGCGCGGACGTGGCAGAACCATTCCCCTGTCAGGGTCCGCAGGCGCATTGGGTCCGACACGGACTGGCGCAGTTTGCTGCTGGGCCGTGGGAGCGGCGCTCAGCTCTGGGTGCCGCTGGGGAAGCCGCGCTCTGCCGCCCCTCGTCCATCACAGCCCCACATGGCGGCGGAGGGAAGGGGGCAGGGATCGGGATGGGGACACGGGTCAGGTTGGGTCACGGTCCGGGTGGGGGACGCAGATGAGATTGGGGGGCACAGATGAGGTTGAGGGGACGTGGACCAGGACCAGGCTGGGGACGCGGGTCAGGTTGGGGACACAGACCAAGGTGGGGAACGTGGATCAAGTGGGGGACACAGACCTGGTTGATGGGACACAGATCAGGTTGGGGACATGGGTCAGACTGGGGAGGGGACGCAGATGAGGGGACATAGAGCAGGTTGGGAACATAGACTGGGGGAACGTGGATGAGGTTGAGGAGACATCATGGACCAGGTTGAGGGGACACAGATCATGTTGGGGTCACAGATCAGGTCAGGAACGTGGATGAGATTGGGGACACAGACCAGGCTGGGGACATGGATCAGACTGGAGGGGGGGAGGGAAGGGATGAGGTTTAGGGGACAGAGACCAGGCTGGGACATGGCATGGGTGGGGGACATTAATCAGGCTGGGGACAGAGATCAGACAGATGAGGGTGAAGGGACACAGACCATGTTGGGACATAAAGTTTGGGACGTGGACCAGGTGGGGACAAAAGTCAGTGATGGATCAGAACGGGGGAGGTGAGGTTGAAGGGACATCATAGACCAGGCAGGGGACACGGATCAGGTTGGGGACACACAGATCAGACTTGGACACAGGGACCAAGCTGGGGACGTGGATCGTGCTGGGGATACAGGCGAGGTTGAGGGGACATAGACGAGGCTGGGGGACGTGGCCCAGGCTGGGGACAGCAGCCATCTCCCACTGTGTTCGGGACCCCCACCCCCCCCGGGCCGACCCCGCGTCTGTCGCTGCCCACGGGTGGCCCTGGGGGTCCCACCTCACTCGCCCCTCCTCTGCGCGGCGCAGCAGAGCATCGCGGTGCAGCACCTCGGCGATGGCGCAGCGCTCCGCCTCGGTCAGGAAGCTGAGGTCCAGCAGCGCCTCGGGTCCCGGCTCCAGCTCCATGGGTGCTGCGGGCTCGGGGGGGGGCTGAGGGGGGGGGGGCTGGGGGTGAGCACAGCTCAACGCGGCGAGAGCGGGGCGGTGGGGCCGCAGCAGGGGGGGCAGCGTGCGGCATCCCGACCCTCTGCAGCGAGATGGGGGCAGCTGGGCGCAAGGCCCCCCCACCGACCCCCCCCAGAGCGTGGCACGACCCCCCCCCCCGCCCTCCCCCCGTGCCCCTCCCTCCCCGGCGCGGTGCCAGCCCGGTCACTGTTTGCCAAAGGCGTTTGTTGCTGCCCCTCCCGCTGCCAGCAGGGCTCCCAAGGGACAAAGAGGGGCGCAGGAAGGGGTTCGGGTACCCAGACCCCCAACCCCCCTCCCCCCCCAAAGAAATCCCACGGGGATCTCAGCGCCAGCACTGCACAGCCGTGCGCTCTCAGCCCGAGAGCCTGGGGGGGGGCTGTGGCTGCCAACCCGGCCCCACGTTTGTCCCCATCCCAGCCCTGGGGGGGTCCCGGTGTCCCCGAGCAGTGCGAGGATCAGGAATCGTGCACAGCGGGGACAGCGAGTGGTGGGTGTGAGTGCCACCGCCATAGGGACCACGATGGCGTGGGGACCACGGTGCCGCACGGGGACTGCAATGGCACGCCATGGGGGCCACGGTGGCACAGGAGCAGGGTGGCACAGCACGGGTCTGCAGCGGCACGATACCGGGACCGAGATGGCACGGGAACCATGACGGCACACCATGGGGACAACGATATCACACCGTGGGGACCACGATGGCACTGAGGAACCCCCTCCCCATCCCCAGCCCTCCCCACCCCATCGCCCCATCTGCCAACCCAATGCCACCCCACGTCCCTCCTGGTGACCCCACGCTGCGCTGTGGTGCTCAGGGCTCCGGCAATGGGACGGGGCCCTACTCCTCCCCACCCCCCCCTGCCCCACGCTGGCTCCATATCCTGTTTACACACAGACCTGGCCCATGGGGGTGTCCCGTTCCCCCCCCCGGAGCACAGCAGCACCCAAAATATCACCGTGTCACCGAGGGGCAGCCCACACACACCTGCGGTTTCCCCCCATCCTTTGGGTGGCACACAGCTGGGGGGGGGGAGGGGGCTGAAGTTTGGAGGGGGTGGAAGCTGCAAACCCCCCCACGGGTGCAACCAGTCCAACCAGTCGCAGCTCCCAGCGAGCTGCAGGACGGGGGTGCGCAGCCCTTTTTGTGCGAGTGGGGCGACGGGTGGTGCGGGCGCAAACATCCCCCCACCCAAAACACCCCCAAGGACGGGCAGCCCCCCATTTCCCTGCTTCCCCCTGCACCCCGCAACTTCGGGGCTTGGAGGCGACGCGTGCCCAGAGCTCAGAGCAGAGCGGAGGGCGGAGCGCAGCCCCCCACCCTCAGAGCAGGAGGAGACCCCCTCCCTCACCCCCCCGTCTCCCCGTTGGGTCGGTTCTTACCTCGCCCAGGGCTGCGGGGGGGCCATGGGCCGCGCGGTGCCCGCTGCTGCCGCAGCCCTAAGGCTGAGTCAACCCCAGCAGGGCAGGAACCTCCGCAGCCGGCGGTGCCAAAGCTGGGAGTGGAGCCAGAGGTGCGCAGCGGACGGGACTGGGCTGAACTGGGCTGAACTGGGAGGCGTCAGGTGGACGGGGAGGGGAATTCACCGAGAGCGGTTGGAGGCGGTGGAGGCGGAGGTGTTGGGCATCGCCGACACGACGGAGGAGCAGAGTTGAGCGGGGAGCCTCCGCTGAGCCCCACCTGCGGGTTGCACTGGGGGGGACTGGGAGGAGTGGGATGGGGAGACTGGAGCGTGGCAGCCCACTGTGCCAGCCCAAATGTGGGGCACTTTGGGGCCTGGGGGAGGTGAAGGATCGCCATGGATGGATGCACCCACAGCCCCATGGATCCCACCCCATGGATCCCATCCCATGGATCCCACCCCCATGGATCCCATCCCATGGATCCCACCCCTATGGATTCCATCCCATGGATCCCATCCCATGGATCCCACCCCATGGATCCCACCCCTATGGATTCCATCCCATGGATCCCACCCCTATGGATCCCACCCCTATGGATCCTACCCCATGGATCCCACCCCTATGGATCCCACCCCATGGATCCTACCCCATGGATCCCACCCCATGCATCCCACCCCATGGATCCCATCCCATGGATCCCACCCCATGGATCCCACCCCTATGGATCCCACCCCATGGATCCCACCCCATGGATCCCATCCCATGGATCCCACCCCCATGGATCCCATCCCATGGATCCCACCCCATGGATCCCACCCCATGCATCTCACCCCCATGGATCTCACCCCATGCATCCCACCCCCATGGATCCCATCCCATGGATCCCACCCCGTGGATCCCACCCCATGGATCCCACCCCATGGATCCCATCCCATGGATCCCACCCCATGGATCCCACCCCATGGATCCCATCCCATGGATCCCACCCCATGGATCCCATCCCATGGATCCCACCCCTATGGATCCCACCCAATGGATCCCACCCCTATGGATTCCATCCCATGGATCCCATCCCATGGATCCCACCCCCATGGATCCCAGCCCCTCTCCTCACCCTGTGCCCCACTTTCCATGTTGGGATGTGAGTGGGGGGGGGTGCAGAGCTCAACCCCACCAGCAAAAGGGGATTTATTTTTAGTGCTGTTTCTAAGGAAATGAGACTTCAGCAGCGGTCTGTCTGTGTGTCTGTGTGTCTGTTTGTGTGCTGCCCTCCCCTTCCTCTCCCCATGGGGTGCTCAGAGCTGTGCACACGTGTCCCCCAGCCCCACAGCACCTCCCTCCCCCCAGCCTCACTCCTTTTCCTGTGGGTACAGCAGAGATGCAGTGAGCACAGCCAGGACTCTGCTGGGGCTCAGCAGCCCTCACTGCAGCGGATGGATGCACTGGGGCGATGAGTTTGCCAGGTCTCAAACCCGTGCTGGAGCTGAGCTCTGTTCACTGCAGTGACCACAGACAGTGCAGGCCGGGCATCCAGCAGAGGAGCATCACCAGTGGGTGCTGGGCGTTGGATTCTGGGCTCTGGGTGAGATTCTGAGCTCTGGGTGCAGGATTCCGGGCTCTGGGCACTGGGTGCTGGCAGCCACCCCGCAGGCACCCAGAACAGGTTCTGCCTCATTTCTGCACCGGGTGCAGGGAGCTCGTGGGCAGAGCTGAGCCGGGTTTTGGGAGCAGATCCCAACCCCACAGCCACCCCACTGCCTCACATTCAGCGTTCAGGTCTCAGAGCTCCCAGGGGGAAACGGAGGCAGGGAGCACAGGGCAGCTCATGGGTTGGACACCCTGGGGACCCCCAGGAAGAGCTGGGGGGGCATGGAAGGAAACGGAGGCTTTGAAGGTGGCCGCGAAGGATGGGCACGCGGGGACGGAGCCGTGCACACCCAGCTGGGGGATCTCAGTGCATTTTTAGCTGCTGCTCTGGCCCTGCAGGGACTCTGCTCCCCCCACGTGGGGCCATGGCGGGTGGTTTGGGGGAGGAACGGGCTGAGCTGCAGGCGCATCCTCACAGCTCGGGGCGGCTCTGCAGCTCCGCAGCTTGTGGAGGCCTGGCACAAAAGCCCTGGCACGGCAGCTGGTTCTGCCTGCACTGCAGCAAAGCCTTCCTGCTCTGCAGCAATCGGCTCCCAGCGCCAGCCCTGCTGCTCCCAAACCTCCCTGCACCGCAGGGCTGTGGCTGCTGCCGCCGGCACGGGCAGCTCCGCGGGATGGAGGACGCCGCGCTCCGCAGGCGCAGCTCCTCGTGGTGCCTTCGGGCCGGAGCTGAGCTCGCCCAGGGGACAGCGTGGCCTCTTCTGAAAGAGAAAAACCTCGGCAGCGACAGAGGCGCATGGAGACATCCACAGAAGTTTATTTCCCCTACCATCAGGATTATGAAACCACAGAAGCAGAGTTTAAATATTTACAAAGTAATCCAGCGCCCCACAGAGATCAAGGGAACAAAGGAAGGGGAGATGGAGGGATGGCCCCTGCCGAAGAGCGGCAGCAAAGCCACGGAGCTCTGCAGCGGGGGGGGGGGGAGAGGAAAACTGGAAGGAAAGGGACAGAGCCAACCTTTGTGGCTGAGGGATGGGGGTGCAGCGAAGAGCAGGCAGGGAGATGGGGCACGGTGAGGGATGCACAGCCCTCGTCTGCTCGCCCCTCTGTCTCCTCCCAGCCCTGGGGACACAGCACTGGGTCTGCCTGCACTCACACGGCTTTATGTCACACCAGCGATGTGCTAAAAGCAGGAAATGCGAGTCCAGCACCGTGCCCACATCCCAGCCTGCAGGCTGCGTTCTGTCCCTTCCCTTCCACGGGCAAAGGTGGCTCGGTGAGGGCTGGGGCAGCTCTGTGGGACCTCTGCTTCATCTCAGCCCAACAGACCGCAGGGCTCTGCTGCTGCTGCGGGAGAAAAGTCTCTGTTCAAAACTCAGATTTGGTACAAAAGCACTGGGAATGGCACTGGACGTTGTCAAGGATCCCAGAGCGGGGATCCCAGCCTCCCCCAGCAGCTCCTCAGCTTTGGCAATGCTCGTACAGCTTATCTCTAACGCACGGGGACGCGGCCCTGCGAGTCTCTAGGTTATTGCTACTGCATCAGATGGGTTGGTTGGCTTCAGCCCACGGCTCCTGGCACGTCCTTGGAGGGTCTCAGACTTCCCTTCAGAATTGGGGCACGCTGGCACTCATCTCTCCCACCCACCTGGGGCACATCGGCCCACAGCCAGGCAGGGCAGCTCAGCAAGGCTCCACGCTTCCCTCCTCAGGTTCTCTCCGATGGAGATCTCGGCCCTGCAGCCCGCTCTGCACTGGGCAGGAGGTGACAGAGCACAGAGAGCAACACCTCCGGGTGGGGGGACGTGGGGGTGGGCGCTGAGGTCTGCACAGCGCCAGCAGGAGGTGACACAGACAGCTGGGGGGCATGGAGAAGGGAGGGGAGCGAGGAGACGTTGAAACAGGAGCATGGGAGAGGAGGAAATACAGAGATGCCCAAGGGGAAACCCTGTGCAGCTGGGGAGCAAAGAGGGGGAAGCAGGGGGGAGGCACAGAAGGAGCCAGCAGGGACCTGGAGGGGGCTTCAACGTCAGGGTGACACAGGTGTGGCGTGCAGACAAGAAGAGCCATGAGACTGAAATGCAGCACGCAGCAGAGTGCAGAGCTGGGCGATCAGACACGTGGGGAAAAGCCAACCCTCCCTCTGCCATCAGAAGGATCTGCTAAAGGCAATCACCTCCAGCAACACTTCTGCAGAAAGCAGCCTGGCCGCCGGCCCCACAGAAAGCAGCACCTGCAGGCCAGCGCCTCAGAGATCCCAGACCCAAACCTCCTCGGCCCAGCGCTCCCAGCCCCCAGCACTGCCTGAGCCGGGGCACAGGAGGGCCATCAGATCCCAGCACGTGAGAACAGCATTCCTCACACCCAAGCCAGTCCTGTGCAGCGCTTTTACCCCAAGGGCACCGCTGAGAGCCCTCCTGCTCCCAGAGGAAAACCAGTGCCCTGCCTGCTGCTGCAAAGCCCAAGAAGAGCAGCCTGCCTGCCAGGCCCTCTGCCTCCCCTTACATCTCCAGCTCAGGGCTCAGGTGCTGCTCTGGATGCCATCACAGCCCTACACGAGGCCTTCTGGCCCAGCAGCTCCCACCCGCTGCCACCTCTGCAGGCAGGGATTCGGTGCCATGCAAAGCATGGAGGCTCAAAGGAAAGTGATGGAGCTCGTGAGAAGCGCAGTGACACTCAGACACCGCGAGAAGCAGGGAAGCTGCATTTTCTCTGGCAGAAGCTAAAAGGGATTTGGCAGCAGACTCCCAGCTCTGCAACGTGCTGCTGAAAGCGTGCAGGCTGCTACGAGCCGTGCCCAAGCCGGTCCATCTACTTTCCTGCTTTTCTGGGCTCACCAGCAGGACCAGATGGATCTGCTCTGCCACAGAGCGATCCTCCTCAGGGTGCTGAGCCACCAACACCTTGCTATCACTGCTGGGGACTGGCAGCACGTGCTGTGGCAACGCACACCCCCAGCAGGAGCCCCAAACCTCCTCTCCAAACCTTGTGCTAAGGGAGAGTCGTGCAAGAGGGACGCAGCCCCTCCTCGGAGGCTGGAAATGTAAGGAAGCATCTGATGAAGTGCAGCAGGAGGAAGGAAGAGGGGATGGGAGGAGGTGAAACCACTGGCGTTCCTGAGCCAGCAGGCGGGGTTTGCCTTGAGGCTCTGCCCGGGCTGAAAGCAAAGGTGCCCACACCTCTCCTTTCCCAACCGCCAAATCGCAGAGGGACCAAATTGAAGGAGAAGTCAGGAGGCTTCGGGAGCCCGGCACTGAGACACAGCAGCGACAGAACGGAAACAGGAGGGTAAGGAGGCAGCTCCAGGAAACGAGGATGAGCTGTGACAGTGGAGTGGGATTGCAGCCTTCCCAGGGCGGTGCTGTGCCTGCCTCACTGAGCCAAGCATCGCAGTTCCCTCCTTCGTGTGCCCACGGGATGGGAGCTCACAGCTGCTATCACCGCAGGTGAAGCGTCAGAACGACCGTCAGGATGGCACCCAGGAAGAGGACAAAGGGAAGCCAGGTCTTCACAAACCCCCCTACGCTGCAAGACAAAAAGAAAAGGGAAAAAGGAGAGGATTTTAAGTCAGCAGAGGAATACAGGAGGGACAAAAAGAAGCAACGACAGATGGAGAAATCGGAGGGAGACAAATGCTTTCCTTATCCACTGCTCCATCGATGGGGATCAGGTCCAAATCTTGATATGACACGGGGTCCCCAAAGAACTGTACCATGAGCCACGGGGCTGAGCTCTGCCTGCAGCACTGATGCCACTCACAGTCCAGCAGTGTCACTCTGTGCAGTCACTCAGTGCAGTGCCACTGCAGCCAGTCTCTCTGATGGGGCTGTTGGTGCACTCAGCTGGCACAGCAGGGAGCACAGCTGGAGCTGCTGTCTGAGATCAGGCTGGACCCAGCAGAAAGGCAGCAGTGCAACAACGGCGCGCAGGGCAGCTCTCACAGAACCTCCCCTCCAGGCCCAAGGAGTTGAAATGGAGACCAAGTGCCCATCCTTTATAACAAGGAAAGCTCAGCATTTCCCTCTCCGCTCAAGTTGGAAATCAGACCAGTTCTAACGCAAACAAGATTCAAGAGGGAAAAGAAACCAGTGACCCTTGGAGACAAGCCATCCTGTGACCTTCTGTTCTGACCTACCCCAGCCAAAAGACAACACGAGGGAAGATCTGCTCGCATCTCCCAAATTCCTGGCACCCTGAATTATTTGTTAGAGGCAGAATTTTGGGAACAGCGTTCAGTGCAAGCCAGCAAACACTCCTGGTTCTTCCCCTAAGAAGCAGCAGCAGGCAGTGATGGCACAGGACCTCTCACCCGTGTGCTGGAAGGAGGGGGGAGAGATGCTCCTCCTTTCCCAAGGGAAAGGCTGAAGCTCTGAAGGGACAGAAGAACAAAAGAAGAGGATTCGGCTGCCTGCTGAGTCCTGTCTGCTCCTCGGCTCACCTTACGTACTTCCCATAGAGGAGCGAGAAGAAGCAGAGTTTGACCATGTTCCAGGAGGTGCTGTTGTCGTATCTCATCAAGTTTAAGGCCAGAGCCACGTGAGAATGGCAGTTATCACAGCAAAGGTTGTGCTGGAACACAGAAAGGAGCGTTAGAATCGCCGTCCCTGGGGCTCCCTGCTCCACACTCTGCCCAGCCCCCCAGGCAGAGGGCAGCAACCAGAGCCGCTCGCAGGCCGCACCATTCGGTGCTTGTACTCCTCCGAGGCGTCGTGCACAGCCGTGTCCCACGCGTTGGGGCTGCTGGAGTAAACTTTGCCAGGATCCAGCTTCCAGTACCTGGGAAGACAAGAACGGATCAGATCCCTTCGCTGCTCCTTCACAACAGGCTGACAAAGCCCAGGAGCCTCAACTCCACCCCACACAACGGCGACGAGACGCGAGCGATGTCAGCACAGCACAGGCTGCCATCACAACCTTTGGGTGTTTCAGCACTTACTTCACTGGCTTCCCAAACGCCATGTTGTCTTCCTGCAAGGAAAGGGAGAAGGCTCTCATGAGGACGATGCTGTGCTGCATTCGTGGCTCAACACCCCCACAAAGTGAAAGCCCCCAACAATCTCAGGATGCCATCACAACTGCAAAAGGATTTAGGCCCAAAATTCCCACAAAGAGCACAGACTACGAGGTTCTTTCCTCCTGCCCACAAACCAAACCAGCCTCTGTCTGCCTGATCCTCCCGCGCTGCACCAACGACCCACAGAGGGATGGCAAAGATGAGGGACATCCAACAGCACTGCTGTGCACAACACAGGGGGTGGCTCAAAGCTCACTGAGATGCAGACCAAGCCCAGATTTTGGCTTAAGCACCAGGAGCCACCTTGTACTCACTGAGACAAAATACGGCCCCGCAAAGTCCCGAATGACTCCCGTCGACGTGCAGATGCCCATATGGCCAATGATGGGGAAGAGCCACCTACAGAGGGAAAGGGTGAAGCGTCAGGCTGAGAGTCTGCCCCCAAAGCACAGCACTGTGCTGCCAGGAGCTGCCACGCAACAGACAGCATGGGGCAGACAGGCAGGGTTGGTGCATGAGGCAGCCAGGAGGTGACAGCAGGGGAACCAGTGCCAGGTGGAGATGCAGGAGTGTGCAAACAGAGGAAGAGCACACAGGGGACACCTGGAGCCGTGCTGCCCTGACAAGCAGACCCAGGGTTGGCTCTTCCATAGGGCGCTCAGGCTCCGTGCTTTACCAGCTCTGTGTTCCCACGTAAAAGGGCCGCATCCAGAAGAAGCAGCCCTGGGATAAACCTGGACTTTTTGCTTTGACAAACGAGGGATAAAAAGGTCATCCTGCCCAGCTGCCACACTGCAGCCTTTCACTGCAAACCAGACATTGGCACCGCAGGTAGGAGATGAGCTTCTTGTTGTTCCCTCATCCCTAAATGCTCCCCTTGTTTCAAAGGCTTCTCCTCGCCCCCACTATTCACAGAGAGCAGCAGGTCTGAATCCCAGCCCATCCATGGTCACAGTGTAACATCACCGTGCTGTCCCACAGCTGCAGCCTTCCCAGCTCTGCTCACCTCTCCCATTCCTCACTCATTTCCCCACACAAGGCTGTGCCCAGTAACATCTCAGATGGCATCGCAGCAAGGCTACACAGGAACAAACCACGGCTCAATAAGAGAGATCCTAAAGTGACCAAAACGAGGAGACAAACCACACGTGCTGATAAGCACAGCTGAGATAAACTGCACGCAGCTCTCATCGATAACATCACCCCACAGCACGGAGGATCTGCAATGTTCCACCTTCTGCACTCGTGCCACTTTTCCCTCTCCTCTGCCTTTCCCAGCACAAAGCAGGCAGGCATTTCCCGGTCTGCACAGAGCAGGTTCTGTCAGCCAGGAGGAGCACAGCGCTGTCACAGCACTGCCACCTTCAAAGGCGCAGTTCCTCCCTTTTGTTTCCCATTCTCCTCTCAGCGCTGCCTACCTTTCCAGCTTCCCAATCCGAGGATGACAGGAAATGTCAGAGGGAGACAATTGGAGCAATTATGCAATCTAAAGAGAGATTTTGCCAAACAACAACGCTGGGATTTCCGCTGCGGAACAAAACCGACAGGAAGATGCCACAGCTTCCCTGGGGAAGGAACCCACGGGCAGACACGGAGACCCGAAAGCGGGGCAGCGCAGCTCCGAGCGCCCGGCGGGGGGGGGGAGAGGAAAAGGGCAAGAAGGCGAAAGCGGCGTGAAATCCTCCAGCACTGGAAGCGCCGTTCCCGACCCGCTCCACGTCTTTCTCCCGCCCCGCAGCCCGGCCCAGCAGCGCTCCTCATTGGAGGGCGAGGCGGACGGGGAGCAGCCCTCGGCGCGGCCCGGAGCCGCACGGCGCGGCCTCGCCCGTTCCCGTGCCCCGTTGCCGCACGGCGGAGCGCAGCCGTCAGCCCCGGACCGCCAGGAGCCGCCGGCCCTCCCGCCCCGCACAACGCCTTGCCGCAACGACAGCCCCGGGCCGGCCCGCTGCTCCCGCTGCCGCTCCTGCCGCCCGGCCCCGCACTCACGTCAGCACGGGGATGGGCGTCCACACCACGCAGTACGGGAAGCGGCCGCGCTCCGCGTCCAGCCCAGCCCCGCCGCCGCCATTGAACTGCTTCATCTTTGCCTCCGCTTCCGCCATCACCTGGGCCCGCCCCCCCCAGCCGGGCCGTCGTGGTGATGACGTCACTTCCTGGAGACCGCGGCGGCTTCCGGTTGCGGCTGGTAACCAGGAAGTGGGAGAGGCCCGGAGGCCGCGTGGGCGGGCGGGGCTCGGGGAGCGGCGGCGTTAGGAGGCAGGAGGGCGCCGGGCTTCGCTTTGCGGGCACGGGAAGCGATGGCCGCGGCGCTTTATCGCCCCTGACGCCTACCGTGTGCGGCCACAGGGCTCGCGGCCCTCCCGCTGTCCGTCCAGCCCTTGGCCGTCCCCTCTGGTACCTGGGAGAGAGCAGGAGGACGCGAGGAGTGACAGCATTTACAAATGAAGCAGCGGGTTACGAAAAAATAACAATTGCTTTATTAGGAAGTTTAATTAAACTACAGGAGGGAGCCGAGAAGGAAGGTGTTCGTTCCGGGTTGCCGCCTTCACGATGCAGAAGGAGAGGGCAGGGATGGGATGCTGTGCCGATGGGACGTGTCCAGGCCCCCCGCTCCTCTTCAGATCCTCCCCTGCTCCTCGTGGAAGCCGCTCATTTCCTCCTCTGGAGGTGCTGAGCTGCAGTTCCGTGGCTCCCAGGCCCAGCTGTGAGCTCAGGCAGCACGGTGTGAATAAAACTGCCTCCCCCCCATCCAGCACGTTGTCGTGTGCTTCCTCTGTGGAGGCACTGCGGAGCTGAGCACAGCGCTCACAGAGGAGCTGGTTTTTGTTACCCACAGCCCAGCGCTGGCAGCAAGCAGAGCCACGTTCCCAGCAGTCATCGTGAGGTCACGGCCTTTGCACAACAGTCCCATTTTTTCTTGTAACCCTTCTCCTTCATCAAGTAATTCTCGCATCGCTACTTCATGCACTCTGCTTCCCAGCACCTGACTTAGCTCAAAAATTGAGCTGAGCCCAGCCTTTCACGTTTGTCAGCACATTCTCCCCAGCAGCAGCACTCCAGGGACAGAACAGCGCTGATGTGCTCACACCATTTTAGCCGAGTGAAGCTTTCAGCGTGAAAGCACAAGAGCTCAGGATCCTCTACCCCAGGAGAGGCAATCAGGGGACAGCATTGAGGATCTGCCGCTGCGGCAGCAGAAAGCACTGGCTAACAGTCTGCTTTAGAGGCGGCCTTCCTGCCCTCCATACACACTAATGTCACACACGTACTCAGGCTTCAACTCAACTAGCTCAGTGGTGCACTGCAATCTACGTTTTCTCACCTCTACCAAGCCCTCAGGAGATCATCTACCATTAGTCCCCAGTCTAGACCACATTTTGGGCAGACCTTTCCAGCAGGGAAGGCGTCAGCAGAGCCACCCACCCCAGGGCTTGCAGGGAACAGCACAAGTCGAGCTGCAGTGCAGCACTGGCTCAGCATGACCTGTCACTGCACCAGAGCTGATCAAGGGCCTGAGCCCAGGCTCATAATCTCAAGGTGAAGGGATTCACAGAACAGTCCAGGTCCAAAAGAGGGAAAGCAAAGGAGAAACAGACACAGCGGAGAGCAAAGCCACACCTCGTGCTTTGGTTTCTGAAAGACGCTTCCTGTGTTGGCACTTTGGGTAGAAGATACACACGGAGGTTCTGTGTGTTCCTCTGAACGCCTTTTGTTCTACAAAGGAAAATATTGGCATTGATCTGCTCCAAGCTCACGTAAGCACCAGAGATTGCTGAAAGCCATGAAACGGGCCCAACATCCACATCAGCTAACGCGGCCTGGCACGTCTCTCCGGTCAGACAATGGATTTGCTCTTCCTGCTCGTTTGGCCCGCAGGCTGCTAAGCAGCGTATCACCACGGACCAGCTCCCTTGGCAAAGCCACACAGCAGGGACAGCACTGACAGCCTCCATGGGACGCCACGTATCCCCACAGTGCCGCCGCACACCTTCCCTCCAGGCAGGGCCGTCTCAGGCAGCCCGGTTTATTGCCTCTCAAACCAAATGCAGGAGGGCAAATCCAGGCTGGAGCACAGAACGGCATTTTCCCCAGGCTGGACTTAAAAAAAAAAATAAAGAAAGAAAGAAAATCAATACATCACTCCTGTACTGCACAGCTTTCTTTGTGCTCATCAGGCTAGCAGAAGGGCTCTCCATCCCCAGCACTGCACTGGCAGAAAATGGGTGAGCAGTAGCTGACAGCAGGGTCTTCCTAGTGACAACTGGAAAGCTGCTGCTGTTGTTCTGCTATTGATCTAAGCAGAATACAAAACACCTGAAGTCAGCAGGGAAAAATAGCTGCAGTTGGAAAAGAAACTGTAGGGGGGTGGGGGAGCAGGGGTAGAGCAGGTAAGAAGTTTTCCATGCATAAAATTAACAGCCAGGCATTTTATTGCAGCTATCTTGCCCAGCTACAATAGTGGATTAACGTAGGGAGCAGGAACGCTGCCACCATTGTTTCTGCAGTCTCTCATTTGATGAGAAACAAAAGGTTTCACTCCCATTCCTGCCAGCAATTTGCCACCAGTGGCTCCTCTCCTGTTGTCAGCAAGGAAGCAGCTCTACCTCCTGTGGGCCCAAGATGTCCTCACGACAGCAATCTTTGCCTGCTTACTGCAGGCACCAGCGTGACACTCGCGCCCTGGAGACACAGAGCATCCCTGAGAGCGTGGAAGGAGGAGCTCAGACCCCTCACCACCCTGGGCTCAACCCCAGGGCGCGCCATCACTGCCGCAGCCCGGCCCTGGCTTACCTCCCCTTTCTACCCTGGCTCATCTCTGAGCCTGAGAGAAGCAGGCACCCAGCCAGCTCTCGTTCAGCCAGCAGCTTCCTTGGGAACCTTCCCTGTTGTGACAGCTCAAACATCGCAGGGACTGCCAGGACCAAACCACTCAAGGAAGAGATCCCCTCCCCCTTCTGACATTGACAACCGCAGCAGCAGCAGGCGACACCGCGTGCAGGAGCCTATTTAAAATGTCACCCAGACACGGGCTGATGGAGGACACCAAGGCGTCCTCCCCCCGCCCCGGAGGTGATGCTGGGGTGGGTTGCTCGGTGTTTTTGTTGTTCCTCTCCTGTGGTCTGTGCCTGCTGCAATTTGACAGTCTCTAATCGCTCAGCGTGAACCAGAAATGTCACTCTCATCTGTATTGATGATGGTGCTACTCACCAGCACGAGAACACACGCAGCTTCAGCCACCCACCCCAAAAGCATGCCTCTAAGCCATCTCGCCCCTCAGCTTTAACCTTCAGGTCTTTTCTGCCTCCCTGTCACTTGCAAGCTGCATTTTCCTCCTCCCTCCCTCCCTCACAGACGCAGCCGGTCTACAGGGCAACTTTCATGTTTAAAGGGAAAACCAGCAGCTTCTCAGGGACACAGGGTGGGAGAGCTCTAAGAGCCAAGTACAGGTCACAGTGATTTCTCAGCCGTGAAATCACAAAAAAAAACCCCTCACCTTTCCTCCTCACCTTCCCTAGAGGGGTTGCCCATCAGCCTCATCTCCTGCAGCAACAAGGCCCGAACAAGGCACAAGGAGCATAGCGTGCAGAGGACTTAATGGCAGCAGGCAGTTCTCTGACATCCTGCTCCCATTTTGCTCAGAGACGAGAGCCATCTTGAGCCCTTTGCAGACTTGTTCCTGGCACTGCAAGCAGTCACAACACAACAGTGAGCTCATCCACACGGCCGCCGTTCCGCTCCCCCTCCAGCCCAATCTTCTGGCTCGAGTTACAAACGAAACCCATTTTCTAGGTCCTTCTTGCCATTTCCACCCCCAATTCAACCACACGGCTTCCCCTTCCATGCTTCCTCTTTGTCCAACCATTCAGGCCAAGAGCTGACCTAATTAGCTGATTGCCAATTCCAGCTGTGGATGCGCACTGCTTTGTTAGAGCAGAGCCAGCTTTTAAAGTCCTAATTTTTATCAGACAGGATTGGAAATGAAGAGGCCTGAAAAGGCCTTCAGCTGAAAGGTGTCTAACAGGAACGTCTGAGAGAAGAGTTCAAATGGATTCTGAAAATAGCAGACCGGCTCTCTAACTCAAGGCCCAGCACTACGCTGAGGGCAGGGAAGTATTTGGGAGGCTCTGCAGCAGGTGCTGAGTGCCAGATGCTTTGCAGCTTATTGCTGAAGTGCTCCAGAGACCAGCACTGCTGCACACAGCTGCGGGCGCCCCATCCCGAGGTGCTCAGGGCCACGGATGGGACGCAGGGCAGCCCAACCTGGTGCCTGATGCAGCAGCCAGCAGCCCTGCCTGCAGCAGGGGGTTGGAACTGGATGATCCGCGAGGTCCCTTCCCAACCCAACCATGCTGTGATTTTATTAATTTTATCCTCTATCCTGGCACGATTCTGACAAAACAACTCCATTACACCACCATTAGTCTTTCTGTGCATCACTTTTCCTTCCCCAGCACGTTCCAGGCAGCCCCTCTCACCCTCAGCCCAACATTCACAGCTTTCATTCTAAACCACACCGGGGGGAGGCTCTGCTCCCAGCACAGCGCTGGCTCTCACCCACAGTCTCAAGTCCCCACACCTGGCTGCAGAGCAGCGCTCACACAGCACCAACCCGCATTTCAGGCCCCCCGGCCCCCTCCCCAAATGAGTTTGCAGGGAGTTTTATCCTCCACCAGAACAGAACAGGATCCAGCACAACCAGGCCCCCCTCCGCCCAGCCCCGTCCACCTCCACAGAGCAGAAAGGTGGAACAAAGCCAGAACCAACCCCCCCCCCCCCCCCCAACAAAACGACACCAAGAAAGAACTAGAACAAAGAACTGTTTAATTGCTTAACCCTTTCTCTTCCAGGGACCAGAGAAACAAGTTTTCTGCTCCTAACGAGGGCAGTAAGGCTTGTGTGTTACCTCTACAACTGCAGGGGCAAAGTTTACGAGATGATCATCTTTAGTACTCGAAAAGGCTACAAATAATGGTCATTGCAACACTAAGAGAATCCTAGAGTCTCCTTACAGAGAGTCCATTGCTAGAATACAAAAATAAAGGAGGCATCCCTGTATATCCCAGGCTAGAAAGAGTTAACCAGAAAGAGCAGGAAGAAGCTTTCCCGAGGAGGGGGTCGAAGTAAACAG